CTTGAGACCAATCAGCCCCCCCCCCCCACCCCCCCCCACCCCTACAGACTAATAAAAATGCCATAACTTCACAACCATTTAACATACACTTATCAAAATTTTTATTTTTGCACCAAATTAAATGGAGAATACATTGCAAGAAATAGAAATGAGTTTATTTTGTTTGACATCGCCATCATGGGCTGTAAATATGAAAAAAGGCAAGGCAAAAATCGTTTATCTGACAACAACATAGACTAGCAAAATTGCAGTAACTTCCCAACCATTCAATCTACATTTATTACATTTTTTCAGCAATTAAAAGCAGAACAGATCGTAAGAAAAATATTTGTTTATTTTGTTTAACATCGTAGTTATAGTAAAAAAAAAAAAAATCTGAAAAAATCTTTTACCTGTCAACATTACAGACTAAATTTCATGACGTATAAAACATGAAATTATATTATTTTATCAACATATAAAATGGTGTGCAATTCAATATAGGTGCACTTAAAATCAAAAGAAAGAAATAAATATGTACCTCTCTCATTTATCCCATTTTGCAGCCTAGATTTGTCACTAGTATGGTACAGTTCATAGCAACCTTCAATACAAAGTGGCACCTGACATACCCTACACCAGTAACCTTATTTATTTCTGGATTTTTGCATTCATCTTTGTCTACACACACTGTGCACTTTTTTCTGTAAATGGGGTTACTTCAGGAAAGCTTTGCAAATCACAGTGCCAGTCATCAATCATTGCGAGGAGGGGGCAAGTCTTCCTCGGACTTGTCAGATGATGATAATGATTCTTCATCAAAAGTAGTAGTGATTTTATCATGTGCAAGCACAGACCCAATATCTTCAATATCTAATGCTGTAAATGAATATTTTTGCTAGAACTATTGGTATACAAGGTCCAACAATTAAATAATAAGACTAATTGTATAAAAATTAAAATAATGAATAGTTGAAGATATAACCTGTATTTTATTCAAAGTAAGCCCCTTGTGCCTTAATACAGCAAGAGGCATGATCTAACAAACACTGGAACGACCTCTGTAGTTCTTCTGTTGTTATGGCCCTTAAAGTCGATGTTATGGCCTCTTCGATGCTATCAATATCGTCAAAGGAGCGTCCTTTCAATCGTAACTTTAATTTTAAGAATAGAAAATAGTCACAGGGAGACAAATCTGGGGGAATAGGGTAGATGGTTTAGAACACGCACTTGTTTTTTGGGACAAAAATTCCTGTACTACTACCGCTCTTTGAGCCGGTGCATTGTCATGAAGAAGAAACAAATTGCCAGTTGTTGAATACAAACCAGCAAGCAACTTTTTTCTTTCACAAATCTTCCACTGAAATTGTATCAATAGTCTCTGTATCATCACCAAATTCATCTACCATCATCCTCAGAGTGGAACAACTATCTTCTTGCATCAGTGCTCAGGATTTTGCAATGAGCTCCTCATTGCGAACAGAAATTGGGCATCTAGGTCTAGTTGCATTAGTAAACATTTCCACACCACTTTTGAATCTTTAATACCAGCTAAAACTCTGTGCATGAGATAAACAATTATCCCTGTAAACGTGATGCATCAATTCAACTGTTGCAATGGCACTTTTTCTGAGTTTTAAACATAATTTAATGTTAGTTTTTTGCTCCATGCTGATTACGAAACAATACACCTCCAACTAGGTTAACAAAATGGTGGCTTGTTTGTTGTCTGCTTATCGGGCGGGGATGAAAAGTTGCCAGATCATAGATTTTGATTCCTTGCTGTGATTCATAGATGGCATTTTTGTCTTAGACATAATAAAATCAGTCTTATTACTTAATTTTCGGACCTTGTATTGCGATCTAATTCCTATTGTAGATTCGAAACAATGTCATCTCTGTTCCTACCCTGTCGGTACACAAGGATGTCATCCACATATAAAAGAGCTCTTCCTCTGCCACACAGTTATTCTCCTGTGATCTTGACTGTAAATATTGAAGTGGATAGGAGACAATGGAGAACCCTGTGGCAAACCAGGGTGTATTGATCGGCATAGAAGACCAACTACCACATCAAAGCACGTCCTTCCTCTGGAAAAGTGCGGCAGATTTCCATCGAATGAGATGTGGGGGGATGTTGAGTTCAATTAACCGTCACATTAGTTGGTGGAAGGGAACTTTGTTGTATGCATCCTCCAAATCTATGGCGACTGCACATGTTTCAAATCTAGCTTGAATACCTTCAAATGTGTGATGTGCAAAGACGGCAGCATTACGCCATGTCTCCATATTTTGTTTGTATCCTCCAAGTGTGGAGGGTAGCAGCTGATGTATTTCAACATGGCTTGCCAGTCTTCTCGCTGTTATCTTTTTCAATGTTTTGACCAATGTGTTTTGCATCGTAATGATTCTATAGCCATTTATGTGTGTGGCGTCTTTGCTAAGTTTTTCTAGCGGAATAAAATAGCTATGCAGCCAGCTTTCTGAGATGGTACCATTACAGATGCTGTCATTGTAGGCTTTACATAGGACCATTATGGATTTTGTGGGCAGCTTGACAATGTCTTCATAATGAATGCCATCAGGGCCAGGAGCAGACTTCTTTGGCCAGGAGCAGACTTCTTTGATGTTTTGATGATGTTCTTAATTTCAGCCATAATAAGCTTATCATCTTTAATGGCTGTACCGGCACATGTTTCAACGACCATATTCATGGTAGTCTGACAGGTGGCAGTGTCTTGCATGCAGATTTGTTTGAGGTATCTCTCAAGGAGTGCTCTTCCTTTCTCTTCATCAGACCTGTTCCATGTCTGGTCCTTATTACAGAAAACTCTGATGCCTCCGCGTCTGGGAGCACCTGTCATAGCCTTATGTATGGACCAGAATTTTGCAAGAGATCTTTCCTTGTACACTTCATGGTAAAATATTTCCCAGGTTGTGTCCTTGGCTTACTGGGCAACTGCTGTTGTGGTCTGCATGGTGTGTTTGCATTCCTGTAGAAGGTCTGGAGTAGAGTCAGTGGATTTTATTGCTTTCTGCCAGATCTTTACAGCATGTCTTTCAAGTACCCACGCTGACTCAACCTCATAATTCCACCACAATAGTTGTTGCAGCTGTTTTCTTCAGCCTAGACGGTGTTGGCTTTTGATTGTCCTAAGCTTGCTTAGGACATCATTTTCCTATGCGTATTTTAAAGGGTTTGAATTGATCCTATGATGTGTGCTGACACCCCTTTTTAAGAGAATATCACAGGGACAGTGTTCGCTGCCATGATTACCTAGTACATACCAACTACAGTATAGACTAAGTGCAGGTAAAACTAAAGCCAAGTCAAGCACACTGTCTTCTTCTTCCTGGTGATTCTTCCATCCTTTAGGCAGATTAGGTCCATTTCCACTATGGCATTCTCCAAATCCTTCCCATGTCTGTCTGTTGAATTATTGTTCCATAGTAACTTTAAGCGTTGAAATCCCTTAATTAAAACAAAGAAATAAAGAGGCTAAAGGCTTCAACCAAATACATCACAAAAATCACAATTTTAACATGATGTGGGCGTCCAAAGCTACATTGGCAGAAAGAAGTAAATATCGCCTTGTTGCATAACATGTGAGGTGGGCTGTCAGTGGGTTTAACAGTTTTTGGACAGGGATGTGTGCTATCACCCAGTTTGTTTCATTTGTTCAGTGAAATAATAGTGAGATCCATACAAGATATGCAATAAAATCATTTGGTTGGCGTAATGGAAAAATCTGCTATGGCACTGATGATATACTTTTAACTACTGAAAAGGAAACACTCCTGCAGAAAATAAAAGACATCATTTAACAGAAATTCTTCGTTTAAATTGCAGAGAAATATAGGTAATGAAAGGTAAGGTCGGGAGATGTGAGCCAGCATCATTGTGCATGGTTATAAATCATACGTGCTCTGCCACTAGTACGGACTGCTGAAAAGAAACTGTCCACCTGTGTCGCCGTCCTCACGTAACTCCGTAGCTACAGCGACGTTCCTCCATTTACCCCAGAGTGTTAACTCTGATACCCATTACCTAGAGGCTGGGTGAACCCCGGAAATCGCTCGGTTTTGAACATCGGTCGTGGGCTGCAGTGAGTCACAGCTGGATTTGAAAGCAAGTCTCCTATGGACCACGCTAAAGTGGTAAATAGGACAATCTTAAGCAAGCTGATAGGTTAAAGTACTTGGGTACCCTGATAAAAACAGATGGAAGATGTGTTAAAGAAGTTAAATGTAAATGTAAAATAGCTAAAGCAAAGACAGCATTTTACAACATAGAGAATATTCTATGTGATCTTTCTTTCGTCAGTTGAAGTGAGAAGGAGGATTTGAAATAGCTATATAAATCCTATTGCGATACATAAAGTGAATCATTCATAGAAAGCTGATTAGTGAAAAATTATGTGGAAATGCAGAGATGTTTTTTTTTAGATGAATGATAACACACTGGACAGATAAAAAGATTTATGAAGATATCTTGAAAGAAAAGGACTCACAAAGAGAAGTCTTGAAAGAATCTGACTCACAAAGAGAGGACTGAGTGCTAAAACCAGAAGGAGACAATATAATTCTTTGGTCATATCATAAGAAGGAGAAATCTTTAGTACATAGTTATGGTTAAAAAGTTGTATATTAAAGGAAATGCATATCTAAAATGTATGTTTTTATCAAGTTTCTAAATTGTACATGGCTAGCTAAACTGACTGATGTTTTTGTTACCCAAAATGTTAAGATGTTATAAATCAGTTGTCAGAATTTGTGTACAGTACTATAATACATCTTTAGCAGTCAGTACAGAGTTCCAGTACTGATGATAGCAGTAGCCGTCTGATTAAATGATTGTTATGAAAATAAATCTCAGACATGTTCATTATGTGTCTTCATGTGTGTGTGTGGGTATTTTTTTGGGTTTTTTGTTTTTGTTTTTATACAAGTAAATTGTACATGTCATTTTCATTTTTATTATGGCTTCAACTGAATAACTGTGTCATTTGTTTTTTTCATAGGAACCTCATCATGAGAAACTTGCTGGAAAATGGGAAACAAAGCTTGACAAGTTTCAAAAGCTTATTATTCTACGAGTTTTCAGACCTGATAAGGTTTGGATAACTGTGTTGTTTTTAGTGTTAAATGTTTAGTGTTATCCTGGGGTACAAGAACTTCTTTCTTATCTAGTACTCTTAAATGATACCTCCATTTGTGTATATATATTGTTTTGTGTATTTATAAGTCTGGCAAATTCATCACTGAAAAGTGTATAGTTTTTGTATTGTATTTTTTAAGTCATAAGTAAAATATATTGTGAACTCAATTCATCATATTTGTTTGATGTGACAGAGAGATATTTATTTTTAAAAATAGGTAATATATCCACAATTCTATTTTCTTTTCCCATGACAGTTAAAATATATTTCAAAGTATTTTGTTTACCCAGTATTCTATTTTTATCTTACATAATGTGAAATAATACAGGCCTATGCACCAATAGCAGACTGTACAGAGGAAGAAAGCAATGATTTTTATAAACAACTAAACAAAGCCTTAGCACAGTGAAAAACCAGGGAAATAACTGTAGTGCAAGGTGACTATAATGCAAAATGGTTTAGAGGAGAGAAATTAGAGAGGAGAAAAATTAGGGCTAGGACACACAAAAATTATAATTGGAAATACTTTTAACAACATCCTAGATGCCTGTGGACTTGGAAAAGCCCTCAAAATAGTTTACTGATTACAACATTATAAACAGCCAATTCAGAAACTGTTTTCAGTAAAAATAAGACCAGGTGCAAACTGAAATAGTGACTATGTGCCAGTCATTACAAAACTAAGGATAAAGCAGAAGAAACTACAAAGGGCTCCAAGAAATACCAAGCTAGATTACTGGCAACAAGAAAGAAGCAGCCATAGGGGTTGGAAATTTTCAAAACATTAAACAAGACATTAAATAAGGATGTGTACTATCACTTTGTACAATGAAATAATAATAAGATCCATACATGTTATGCCAGAAATATCGGTTGGTAGGCATATTGTTAACAACCTGTGATATACTGATGTGAAAACAAGGGTCTATGTTTCAACAGCAGAAAAACAAAAGTAACGGTAATTACAAAGAAAACTAACCCTCTAAAATGCAACATCAAAGTAAGTGGGACAAATCTCAGGCAAGTTGATATGTTTAAGTACTTGGGTACCCTGATAACATCAGATGGAAGATGTGTTAAGGAAGTTAAATGCTGAATAAACAGCTCAAGCAAAGGCAGCATTTAACAAAACAAAGATTATTTTCTGAAATTTTTTTTTGGTCAATTGAGACAAGAAAGACAATTCTTAAAAGCTGTATAATCACTTTATTGATATATAGAAGTGAATCATGGACGGTTAGTAAATTAGTGAGAACTTATTTGGAAGCTGTGGAGATGTGGTTTTATAGACGAATAATAAGAATACCCTGGACAGATAAACAGAGTAATGAAGACATCTTGAAAGAAACTGACTCAAAACTGATTGCCCACATCAGAAAGAGACAATCTACATTCTCTGGTCATGTGATGAAAAGGAGAAAACTGGAGTACATCGTGACAGTAGGAAAGTTGGAGGAGAAGCAGAGGGAGACCAAGAGAACAGATGCTGGGCAGATTGATATCATGGCATGGAGGATCATCTGTATCTGTATCAGATTTTATTGAAAATACACGAGACAGAAGGTTGTGTATAGACATGACTACCAACGCCATAATGCATGGACTTAAAAAAGAAGATACTTTGCATTTTAAACTTACCCTGTTTTCTTTATCCTGAGTTGGTTCTATGACCCCATAGGTTTATAGCTCAGACAGATTATAATGATATAGACATCAGGGATGCAGTTAGAGAGGAGTTAGCTGGCATCTTAAAGATTATGCATTATGAAGACATGATAAGGGTAGACTGCTTTAACCAGAGCATTAAGACAGCATCAGTAACGCAGGACTGGGTGCAGAGCTATCTAATCCCACTGACAAAACCTTTTAAGAATCATTAAAAGCTCAATGGCTTTAGAATCATCACCTTACAAAACACATTTGGAAAGGTCTTGGAGAAGATAGTTGCTGTAAAACTGCAAGAATTTTTGGAAAGGGAGAAGATTCTCCCAAGAGATCTGGGAAACTACAGGCTAGGAAAGGGCACATGGGCAAATGCTGCCACTTTTGCTTTTGACGTCTATGAAGGGTTCCAGAACAGACAGGAAACTTTGGCGGTAGCTTATAACAGAGTAAGATATGACATCTTGATGACTGCACTGAAGAAGAAGGAGGTGAGTCCAAGGCTGGTGAACTGGTTGCAGCTGTCCTGTATTCACATCGGGTTGCTCTCTGACTGGGTTCATGGACCTCAGAACCATGCAGTTTGGCCCCAGGACTGCCACAGGAATCCGCCATCTCCCCTGTGCTCTTTAACGTGTATACGAGCAAGATTGCAAGCCTAGAAGCACCAGGAGTTGGAAGCATACTGACTTTTGCAGATGATATACTTGCATATAGGTGGGGAAAGAGGGGGAACAAACAGCCCAAGAGCTTCAAGCAACAGTAGACAAAGTGACTGTGTGGTATACAGAAATGAGGGCTGTCGTCCTGGAAAATGTGTCTGTTTTGTGGTGTTCTCTAGACAACAGGATCGTTAGAGCTAATGTCTCAAGTCTCACGATAGATGGTAGAAACGTCAATAGAGAGAGCAAACTGTAGTATCTGGGAATTACATTTGACAGTAGCCTGTCCTTTAAGGACCATGTGGAGAGTGTTGTGACACACACACACACACATCGTGATTGTAACTGACTCAGAAATCATGCTGAGGAAGGTCAGGACAGGCATACTTCGTGCAGAGTGGCATGCTTCACTGCGGAGGACATGGGTGAGGAGTATTGCCTGGATTTTTTCACCTGGATTTGCCGGTGTGTTGGGAAATGAACAGGCAAACAGACTGGCTGGCTCTGCACAACTTAGTGGAATACTGATGCCTGATAAGGCAGACGTGGTTGGTGCCTTGTGAGAGAGCATTTACGAGAGGTTCTGGCAGATGCTCGAGGCTCAGAGGAAAGGCAAGACGGACGTTTAATCAGAATGCTATTGGTATTGAAACTCTTCACTGGCTGCTGAGGATGGGGACGAAGTGCTTATGGGAATGCCCCGAGTGTTCTGATGTGGTTTCTTGAATCAACTCAACTTTGATGTTACCTTTGAAGTCAGAATTCATCTGCCCAAGAGGCTAGGAACCAACAGTCTGAATACAATTAAACTAAATGTGTAAAATGAATGATCACACAAAACTCAGATTCTAGAATAATACTAAAAAGAAGAACTGTTCACCAGAGCCTACAGCCAGTGAATGCAAAGAACGTTAAAAATAATTCACACACTGATTATTCTATTTTTTTTTTACTTCATGTGACATGGAAATTTACTTGAAGATGTGAGGTTTGTCAGTGACCATGTTTACTGCTGCAGCATTCTGTTTTTTTTTTTGTTCATCCATTAGATAACTTATGTTCTGTGAACATGTTATAGACTCCATGGCACCAGCAAATATTCCAAAGTGTAAATGCTATAATCATTCAAGTATGCTATACACATTTTAGTTAGGGTAGAGGATTTTACATTTGGAACATTAACCTAGACAGGTGACCATTTAGCTTTCTGTTAAAATGTGCATAGCATAGACACTATCTCACATTGTGTTGATTATAATCAACACCATGCACTTTCCCTCATTCAAGGTCAAGTAAATATCCTCAGGCATCTAATTGGAGTGTATCTAGTATATGTCAGTGTATGCACTATTTGTCAGAGGCAAATGCTGCTGCACGCCCTGAAATGTTGAAACGGTAAGGCCCAAGTGACATAAAATTAATATTGAATGATAAATTATGATATATTTTTCATTAAATTAGTCACATTGAATTTTTATTCCTGCTTAAAATCACAGGTGATACCAGCAGTGCAAGAATTTGTGACAGTAAAATTGGGGAAAGCTTTTATTGAGCCTCCTCCATTTGATCTATCAAAAGCCTATGCTGACAGTAACTGCACAACACCATTGCTGTTTGTATTATCTCCAGGATCTGATCCGATGGCAGCTCTGCTAAAATTTGCTGATGACAATGTAAGAATTGAAGGCTGCAAATAGGAAACAGTATTGATGTTTTGATAAAATATACTTTTATTGTATTAAATATTGTCTGACATCACCCGGCTTGCTTGTATCATTGTAAACTAACAAATTTATACTTCTGTATAACTATACAGCCAACAACCTGATCCTTTTCATATTAAGCCTCACCCAACAACCCTGGGGCAGAAAAAATTAAATTGTATGTTATTCAATTTCTATATTCTGATATGAAATAGGTGTTAAAAAAAATTCAAGCAACTGATCAGTAAAATACTGTCTAATTATTTGCGCACTTAATAGTTGCTATGGAAACCAAGATAAACAGTGGCCATGTTAGATTTCTTAGGACTGGTCTAACACCATCATTTTTATATGTACAGGCTCAATTTTGTGTGAATGTATGTACATTCATAGGTCCTTTACAGAATGACAGGTTTTTACAATATCCCTTCCCATTTCTTTTCTGCATAATTCTAAAACTTCAACAACTTGTTTGTAGATAAATTTTGTAGCTTCCCGACCTCTGCACAAAAACTGAATATTAGTTTCACAAACACTCTTGTCATTCTTTAAATAATACAATGATAAATAAGTGTACAAAGTTTCATTATAATCAGAAGTCAGACAAGGCGTTTTTTGAGAAAAAAGCTGCTAAAATAAGAAAACTGGTTGTGGGAAAAGTATTTTTTGTCATGTTTTATTATAAAGTCATTTTAATGCTTTAACAATAATTATTTGCACAGAAAAACGGTTTCTGATACTACGTAATCATCAGAACAATCCTGATGCATATGCAGGACCTCCTCTAGGGCATATAGTTCATATTGTCTCTTCATTTGGCAGCTTGTACACTGTCATATCTCCTAGTTTGCTTTTTCTTCTTATACTTCAAGCTATTTCTAACTCTTTTGCATCCTAGTTGTCGGCATCTGTGGCTTAGGCGTTGCGAACGCGCTTTGTAATGCCAGGGTGCCAGGTTCGATTCCAGCTGGGGGCTTTGACAGTGATATCAAGAAGCCAACCACCCAGTAAGCGATAGCAAAATACTAGATATAAATTTGCCTAGAAAAATTACAATAGCCCAAAAATGCTAAGATTGATTCTGCAATGACCTGTAAAAGAAAAGCAACTAACTTTACTTTCTAAAAATTCCTAAAAACTGGGCAGTGTCTTGAACAGCAACAGCACTAAAGTTGAATTCTCTTGCTGCAGTTATGATGCAAACTGAATGTGCTTGCATGAGGCAGTTTGTCTTTAGTACAGCCAGCATGCAGATTCTCAGCACTCAGGGGAAAAGCGAGATGGATATACAATCAGTTACTGGTGCCATTAGAACTCTTAGCTTCCTACTGAATATGAGGAAGGAGTGCATATGGGAGTGTACCGAGTGCTGTGACGAGTTATAATTCAACATTCAACCCATAGAATAAGTCAAGGATCACTGAAATATCCAGTTAAGAATTGAAATAGATCACTTGATCTGCTTAATGATGTAGCACCGATTGACACAGAAAATGAAACAATGGCGCCCGCTTTACGCTGCATACAGGGTTGCCAATGGAATTTTTTGAAAAACCCAGCTTAGCTGGGGAAAAAAAAACAAGCAATACATAGACAAAGAAAAAAAAAAAAATGTGCAAACTGTATAGTTATGAAACGAAACATTTACCACTTTTATGTAAAGATATATTTTTAAAAACAATCAGATTTCCCCAAGACATTTAAAAATCAAAATCTGTTGGGGGGGGGGGGGGGCAGCACTGGTAGCCCTGTGTACGCATAGCCGTCACATGTCAAAGGCTGTGCCCATGCGCCAGGAAGATAGCAATAGCCAGGCCAAGCTCTCATTGGTCAGGATTGGTACTCTGACTCGCACTGATTAGCTGTTACAATCAAGACCTCTCTAGGGATTAAAATAACTAAACTGGTTTGCAGTGGTTTTTCTGTGGGTCCAGTGAGGATCGCTGGCTGCTAAGCAACCTGGAAAATATTGCTGATATTAGCGCTAGCAGAAAGTATAATTTCCTAGTCCTCAGATTTCTATTAGGAAAGCTAATTTATATACTCAAGCGATTATATCCATAGTCAGCAGAGGGGAGTGCCAGTGGCCGTCACCATTTCTGTCACATAGTCCCAAAAATAACATTATAAAATGAATTTCAAAACATTCTTTTCCCATTTAGTTCTCTTTGGTCAGAAAACTTTACATACAGAACCATATTCTTAATATGCCATGATAGCTTATAAAAGGTATCATATATCCTTTTCATAATCTATCATAATTTTATGTGTGATAAACATCTGAGTTTGTAATCCATTTTTTGTCTCCAGAATATGGGAGGAGATAAATTTGATTCACTATCACTTGGTCAAGGACAAGGCCCTATTGCCATTAAAATGATTGACAAAGCATGCAAAGATGGTCTTTGGGTAGTGCTTCAGAACTGTCATTTGGCAGCCTCATGGATGCCAACACTGGAAAAAATTGCTTCAGTAATTCTTTAATGTGTTATTAGATTAATAAAAATGTATAACTCATATATGTCTATATGTGTGCCTGTCTACCTATCTGTCTCTGTCTATGAGTCTATCTGTTCACCCACTCATCTGTCCATCCACTCGTTCATCCATTCATCTATCTGTCTACCTACATATCTGTCTGACTGTCTGTCTGCATCCAGTTCGTGTCATGGTTGACACTTAAAGCATTTGCAAGTGTTCTCAACAACTGCCAGTCGGGTGGTTTTCTGTCCAGGGTGTACAATGTAAGTTTACACCACATTTTTTCTTTTTCTTCTGTCCTTCACTGTTTCTTTAGATTGTCCCCATCTCCTTTTTTTTCTGTCTGCCAACCATTAAAAAATCGTCTTTGCCAGAGTGTTCTTCCAAAATGTCCAAGACATCTCCATCTTCATCTTTTCCAAAAAGGATATGAGTTGAGAACAGAAAATGGCCACTTGCGAATGCCTTGTATGTTATAACTAAAGGATCCTTCTTCTTCTTCTTCACTTCCTCTTTTACCGCTGTGGGTGTCGAGGGAGATATAAGGTTCTGTTTTTAGCTCTTCTGGCTGCCTCGACCATAGGCACATCGTGCTGTTGTAGAGTTTCTCTGATGTTATCCTTCCATCTTGTTCTTGGTCTACCCCGTGCTCTACGTCCTTCTTCTCTTTCCATGTATGCTTTGTATGGTATGGTGTCACAAGGCATTCTCTCTAAGTGGGCAAACCATTTCACTTGCTGTCTTTGTATGTAATCCAGAATTGGTTCTGTGCCGACTTGTTCTCTTATGATCTCATTCCTGATCTTATCTCTTATGGTCACTCCTACAGCCCTTCTCAGACATCTCATTTTCGTGGTTACTAATTTTCTTTTATGGTTTGTTGTGAGTGACCATGTCTGGCACCGGTAGCACAGAGTTGGAATAAATATGCTTTGAATAAGATGTCTCTTTGTGCTGACTGGGATTGTCTTATGCTGTAAGAAGGGGGCTAGCTGTCCCAATACTTGGTTTGCCTTACTGCATCTAATGTCAAAGGATCCTTTATACCTTTATATCTTAGTCCTTGCACTAAGAGATTTGGTCCAGTGTATGAACATACACAATTGACCAAAATCTTAGCGTTTATGCAAGAATGTCAGAAGCTATGAGTATTCTGTATGGTAATATTTTTAAATTTACCAAATGCTGTAGTCTGCAAGGTCCGACAATTAAGTGAAATTATGAAATTAAATATCCGACTTTTGCAATGAGTTCCATCATTGCGAACAGAAATTTGGCGTCCAGGTCTAGGTGCATTAGTAATCATTTCTACACCACTTTTTAATCGTCAATACCACCTGAAAATGTGTGCACGAGATAAACAAATATCTCCATAAATTTGTTGCATCAATTCAGCTGTTTCAGTAGCGCTTTTTCTGAGTTTTAAAAATAATTTAATGTTAGCTTTTTTGCTTAGTGCTGATTACGTAACAATGCATCTCTGACTAGGTCAACAAAATGGCGGCTTGTTTGTTGTCTGCTTATCGAGCAGCGATGAAAAGTTGTCAGATCATAGATGAATATTGCCTCTTTAGATTCCATGCTTAGCTTCATAGATGGCATTTTTGTCTTGGTCATAATAAAATCAGTCTCATTAATTAATTGTCGGACCTTGTATTCTATCTTCTTTTTACAGTTTCTAGTCACTACTGATTTTTTTTTTTTTTTTTTTTTAAAGAGTTTTGGGGCCAAAAAGGTTTTTATTAGCAAAAACTTTGATGCATTGTAATATAGCTAATGTCTAATATGTTTGTATTTGTACTCTGTAAGGAACTTTCTGAAGATCAAACACATCCTGACTTTCGGCTGTGGCTAACTTCGTACCCAACCAGTGTGTTTCCAGTCTCCATCTTAAGAAATGGTGTTAAAATGACAAATGAAGCACCAAAAGGACTAAGATTCAACATCATCAAATCATATAAATCTGATCCCATTTCTGATCAAGAGTTCTTTGGCAGTTGCAAACAGCCGGTCAGTTTTTAAATATTTCCCTTCATTTATTACCAATTAAAGAGCTGCATTTCTAAGAAAAGAAAAAAAAAACCAGACTGTTTTTCACACTAGTCGTTATCTTTAAGAAAGCTGAGCATCTTTCTCAGCCTAATGCTTAAACTGGTGCACTTCAACCACAAAAATCATAAAGACTTACATTTGTAACCTGTATTCACATTGTCTATTTAACAGTTAATAGAACTGAAAACACACATCACACTCATACACACACACACAAATACATCACACACTTGCATGCACATACACATATGACACGCTTCAAAAAAAACTGACGCTAATTCCTCTTATACAAAAGTACAACAGGGTTTAAGATAACATAGTTCCGTCTGATATTTTCTTTCTCTGACTCTAGCTAAAACGTGTGTGTGTTTGTTTTTTAATGCACATAGCTTATCTAAACAGATTTCATTCTTACAGTCTAAACAATTTAATCATTGTCTCTCTTGAAATTCAGTACATAGAGTTTAATTATGATGTATTAATTCCATCAGTTAAATTGTATATTTACAGATAAACTTCAAAAGAATGTTGTATTCCCTCTGCTTTTTCCATGCTTTGGTTCAAGAAAGAAAAAAGTTTGGTCCTATTGGCTGGAACATTCCATATGAGTATAATGACACAGATTTGAGAATCAGTGTGTTACAGTTACAGATATTTTTAAATCAATATGAGGTTTGTATTCTTGATTTCATCCTGTCAAGTGACAACACTTTCAGCAAATTAATATTTTTTTGGGGGGGTTTTTTTTGTTAAAAAATTAAGGTAAAGGATGTTTATATGTATGCAGCCAAGAGATTAGTAGTAAAGTAGTATAGCAAAATTAACCCTGAGGAGGTCAATATTAGGCCAGAGAAGCAGCAAAGAAGGCAGATAAGGATTTTTATGGAATGTTTGAACAGCTGGGCTACACATAACATATTCAATATCAATTTGCATAACATTCTCAGATGACAGATAAGAGTGAAAAGTCATGATTTCTTATGTCTGCTCAAGATGAGGCATACGAAAGAGCTTAGAAAGATAGTGAACTTGCATTTTATTTTATTCTTTTGTTTTTCTTTCAAAATTATTTCATAAAATATGTACTCACATTAATAAATTAAGATGTCTTATGTTTGATTTAAAACTGTGTGCCATGCTAGTCTTTCATATATGCTTTCTTTAGATTTGAAATTTGTGATCAGCTCTGTTTTGCAAGCAGTGGATTGGAAACTGCCCCTTTCTCCCTTTTCCCCTCCTACAACGCTTCACGGCAAAAGTGGAAATTAATGATAATGATGATGACAAAAACTAACAGAATCTAGTCTTGTTTCAGTTCCCAGGAGAATATAATTCCAGAACAGTATATTTATTGTTTTACTTTGAAGCTATGCTGGTGATCCTGGGATGTACAAGAGATACCCCGATTGTCTGCAAGCGATACATCCTTGCATTGCCGACTATTGCAGATAGGCCAAAGGTGCTGCAGGCTAAGTCATAACTCAGAGTAGTTGCAGACAAAGAACATCCTATGTATGAAACTTTGTCTGCAGGTAAGGGTCAGAAGCTGAAATCTGGGAAATCGTGGATGGCATGAGCAGAAGACACAATAAAACAAGTATGCATGCTGAAGAACATTGGGCGAGGAGAGGAGTGGGTCAGAGTACTAGAGGAAAAGTCTGGCCAGTGTAGTTATGATCACATTGGGCTGGATGTGCAGAGAGTGGCCTACGGAGGTGGAAGTCCAACAGTTTATTCACAACATTTCATGCCCAGGGGATCTGATTATCTATACAGATGGTTCGGTGTTGAGAGGAAAGAAAATTGCCTGTTTATTCGTAGCCAATGGAAAATCGTTAGTGCAAAGCAGCCTAGCATACGACATCACTACATCTAGCATGAGAATGGAGGTAGCTAGAGAACAAGATGCATACACATGTAAGAATTGTAACAGACTCTGACGGCATTCTAAGAAAGATGAAGACAGGGATGCTTTGAGCAGAGTGGCAAGCTTCACAAGGAAGGCCACATGTAGTGAGCATACTTTAGATCTTTTCTCCAGACTATGACGGCATAGTGGGTAATGAATAGGCAGACAGATTGGCTGGATCTGCACCACTGGGTGGTGAATTGATACATGACAAGGCAGATGGGGTCAAGTCTCTTTGGGAACAAGCAATGAAAGCAGTAGAGAAACAAGATTATTATGGCCTGGAGAGAATGAGGCACCTAGGTGTAACCAGAGGGTCTGGTTGGCTCACTACACTCAGAGGAAAGGCAAAACGGACATATAACCAGATTGTGACCGGTACCATCAGTACTGGAACTCTGCACTGGCTGCTGAAGATGAGTATGGAGCACGCATGGGAATGCCCAGAGTGCTGTGATGTCAATTCTTGACTCAACTCAACTCATTCTCTTTTGTCTTTTTTGTACTCCACACCCTCTGCAAAGCTTATTTAAAAAAAAAAAACTATTGTTTTTGAAGTCTGCATTTTAGTCATGAATGCAGTAGTTTAAAAATGTAGGTGTTGCTGATAATGGTAATACTAATCTTGGTAAAATCACAAAACTTCCTCCTTCCCCCAAAAAAGATATTCAAGACAAGTGCAAAGCACGGGCAATGGTGAGAGTCATTGAAGGAGTCAAGGATGTACAGTCAGTTTCAACTTTCTAATCGCCTTATTCAGAATCAGTTACATTAGAAGAGTTCAGTGGATGAGAATGAGCAGTAATTTGTCTCTTCTTTTCCACTCTTCTTCTTTTTTCTTCTCATTGTCCACTTATTTCACCAAGGTGCTGGGGAAGATGTAAGGATCTTCTGTGTGCCTTAATAAATGCATTTTATAAGTTGGTCTTCATTTATTTGAGGCTGTTCTAGATAACTTTGTTCCAACTTTTGTGTGGTCTTTCCCCTGGTCTGTGTTCATTGTATTTTTTTTTAAACAGGGCTTTCTATGGCACTTGGTACTAGGAAATTCTCATCAGATAGCAGACTATCTTATCTGTTTACTCATCAATGAACTATGACTGGTTTAAGCCCTAGTCTTCTGATGTTTTCATTTTTTTTTAAATGTACCTCCTTTTCTAACTCTGGCAGCTGTTCTAAGACATCTCACTTCTGTTGTTTTGACTTTGTGTTGGTTAGTTGTAGATGGGGCAATGTTTGACAAACAGCTGACTAAAAATTAAAAAAATAGTTCTTTTTAGATTTGTCTTTGTTGACAGAGTATAATTTTTGTGTGTCAAAAGTACTATTAGTTGTCCCAGTACTTGATTTGAATGTGCACATCAAATGTTGATTTCACTATCAATCCTAACTATCAATCCTAAGCTAGAAGTGTCTATCTCTTGCATATATATCTGCTGGAATTATAATCTAAAAGTCTGTTCACTTTGTTCAGGCTCTCAACCATAGCTACTCATGACGTGTTGACAGTGTTGCTGGCTGGAACATGCCTATATTCGAATTAATTGCTCATTAAATGAAATCCCCCCAAAAATTAATTTGTCTGACACACTGTGTGGTTGGTATCAGAAGTTTACTGAGGAGAAGGATCTGAGCACTCATGGACTGAATGGGTCAATCTGCAGTGAAAATGATCTGTCCACTAACTAAGTCAGTAATCAAGAATTAAAGGCAGTTTTGTGTGTGTATGTGCATCTGTCTATCTCTCTCTCTCTCTCTCTCTCCCTCCCTTTTTATCTCTCTCTATCTCCCTCTCTCTCTCTGTCTCTCTGTCTCTCTGTCTGTCTGTCTCTCTCTCTCTCTCTCTCTCTCTCTCTCTCTCTCTCTCTCTCTCTCTCTCTCTCTCTCTCTCTCTCTCTCTCTCTCTCTCTCTCTCTCTCTCTCTCTCTCTCTCTCTCTCTCTCTCTCTCAATACCCACTTTCACTTTGCAGAAATTGAAATTTGTTAAGGGCCTAAAAGATAATGAAGAAATTTAATCAGGGTATAAAATGTCTCTTGAACAGAAGGTTTTCACATTTTGACAATATTTGGACTGAATGATTTGCAGGAAGTTCAGTTTGAAGCTCTAAGATACTTAACCGGTGAATGTAACTATGGAGGGCGTGTAACTGATGGATGGGATAGGAGAACACTGAACACAATACTAAGTAAATTCTACTGTCCTGAACTTCTAACTCAAGAGGAGTTCTATTTTGATGCAAATAAAGAGTACAAGCTTCCACCAGATGGAGACGTGAGTATATTTAATTGATTTGTTTTATTAATGAATGACTGGTTTTTTTAAACTCTTTGAGTCCCAGGTGGCTTAGCACTAGAGGTTCAAGGGTGGTATGCAATTTTAAAATTCCACAAGTGTAACACATTAAAACAGACCATACTAATTCAATTGTCATGCAACATACACAAACTATGCATCAAAGTGACCAGGGATTGTTGAGGAATAATTATTCAATACAGCTACAACAAATGATTGTTTTAGTAATTAACTATTAATTAGTAAATAAACAAATGGTATATTTACAAAAATTTGTAAAATAAAATAAACACATTTTTATTTACCCCCATGGCACTCAAGAAAAACTGGTTAAAATATATCCAAAAAAAATCACAAATGAATATGGACCACTTAGTAATGTATGAGTAAAATATAAACTCAATCTATACATTAGATTTTTTACCGGAGATTTTTTTGAAGCATCACAACAGAGAACCATTATTTTGTAAACTTCTTTTTCTTCGTGGTCACCAGCTGTAAACTCTGGCAGAAAGTTCTGGTTGTTCATCCACTTCTAAACTAAACTGACTCCCAAAACAATCAGTATCTTCACACAAAACCAAGTTTATAGGACACTCAATTTGCCTGTGATTTTGTAGATATGTTCCTAAGTAATGATGGGAATAGCACTAGAACTGACACTGAAGAAAATCGACCTTTCACTAATGCTTACTCTATTTGTGCCAGCTAACTTTGCTATCATTGTACCCTTCACGTGAGGTACACATTAGACATATCCCTTATTAAAGTTTGACTCTGTAAATGACTCAAACATGTCTAATTCGCAACGTTATCTATACAACTTCGGATAAATCTAATAAATAATACTTTATTCAAATTTTAAGCTTCTAAAGCCCTCTGTTGGCACTTGTACACACCTGTGATAGGTAATCACATACTTTCAAGCAAAGGTTGTATGTGCAAGCCCTATATTTTTATTTACCTGTTGCCACTCATTGGATTAAAAACACAGTACAACACTCAGATCCTTAGAATGTCTGTACTGATTTATGGTCCAACTCTTGTACCACCAGCAGCCTACTTTCAAACGTGTGCCTATATTGAAATCTGTTTCTAAAAGCACTCCTCTCACTGACTAGAGTATTTGTGATCTTAGGTCTTATTAGTGTTGCAGTTTTTCTGTGCCATGACAGGGCTTTTTCTTTCAAGAATGCCTTCTTTTAAATTGTAATTGGGGAAAAGCTTTTTTTATTATTGTTGTGTTTAAAAAGAATTGCACCGTCTGTTATTTCCATATGAGAGAGCAGATGATTTATGTTATAAAATGTGCTAGATACATAAATTATCACCAATAATCTCAGTAAGATTGATGTTCTTGTGAAACATTCTGTTGTTTTCTTTCCTGACTGCTTAGCTCCTTTTTGTTTTCTTTCCTGACTGCTTAGCTCCTTTTTGTTTTCATTCCTGACTGCTTAGCTCTTTTTTGTTTTCTTTCCTGACTGCTTAGCTCCTTTTTGTTTTCTTTCCTGACTGCTTAGCTCCTTTTTGTTTTATTTCCTGGCTGCTTAGCTCCATTTTGTTTTCTTTCCTGACAGCTTATCTCCTTTTTGTTTTCTTTCCTGACTGCTTAGCTCCTTTTTGTTTTCTATCCTAACTGCTTAGCTCCATTTTGTTTTCTTTCCTGACTGCTTAGCTCCTTTTTGTTTTCTTTCCTGACTGCTTAGCTCCTTTTTGTTTTCTTTCCTGACTGCTTAGCTCCTTTTTGTTTTCTATCCTGAGTGCTTAGATCCTTTTTGTTTTCTTTTCTGATTGCCTAGCTCCTTTTTGTTTTCTTTCCTGACTGCTTAGCTCCTTTTTGTTTTCTTTCTTGACTGCTTAGCTCCTTTTTGTTTTCTTTCTTGACTGCTTAGCTCCTTTTTGTTTTCTTTCCTGACTGCTTAGCTCCTTTTTGTTTTCTTTCCTGACTGCTTAGCTTCTTTTTGTTTTCTTTCCTGACTGCTTAGCTCCTTTTTGTTTTCTTTCCTGACTGCTTAGCTCCTTTTTGTTTTTGGGGTCAAACATTCAGTGCCATCAAGCAGTCCATTTATGTGGATACTTAACACGGCTTAATACTGTTTTTCAAGATTGCTCAAGACTAATATTAATATACAAGAGTGAGGTTCTAATAAAAAAATATATGTGTCCCTTTAAGCATTATACATTTAGAAAATCAGTCAAAGGCATTTAACATATCTCAGCCAGAACCAGGAAGGTATAGAATAATAAAACTGCTTGTAACAAAAGAGTGTGTAAATTTAGGAAGCTAAAAAATATAATAAAAATAATTTACATATGTATGCTGTTTGTTGAATATAACTTTAACATAATCTGTAAACTACTACTAAGTTATCACACCATTGTATGCTGTTTGTTGAATATAATTTTCACTTAATCTGTAAACTACTACTAAGTTATCACACCATTGTATGCTGTTTGTTGAATATAACTTTCACATAATCTGTAAACTACTACTAAGTTATCACACCTCTGTATGCTGTTTGTTGAATATAACTTTCACATAATCTGTAACCTTCTACTAAGTTATCACACTATTGTATGCTGTTTGTTAAATAAAACTTTCACCTAATCTGTAAACTACTATTATGTTATCACACCATTGTATGCTGTTTGTTAAATATAACTTTAACATAATCTGTAAACTACTACTAAGTTATCACACCATTGTATGCTGTTTGTTGAATATAACTTTTACATAATCTGTAAACTGCGAATAAGTTATCACACCATTGTATGCTGTTTGTTGAATATAGCTTTCACATAATCTGTAACCTACTACTAAGTTATCACACCCTTGTATGCTGTTTGTTGAATATAACTTTCACTTAATCTGTAAATTACTACTATGTTATCACACTATTGTATGCTGTTTGTTGAATATAACTTTCACATAATCTGTAAGCTACTACTAAGTTATCACACCATTGTATGCTGTTTGCTGAATATAACTTTCACATAATCTTATAAACTACTACTAAGTTATCACACCATTGTATGCTGTTTGCTGAATATAACTTTTACATAATTTGTAAACTACTACTAAGTTATCACGCCATTGTATGCTGTTTGTTATATATAACTTTTACATAATCTGTAAACTGTGACTAAGTTATCACACTATCGTATGCTGTTCCCTGCAACAGTTATTATATTTTTGATCTGTGTAATGTTTCAGTATGAGAGTTATGTGGCCTTTACACAGACTCTACCAATTGTGGTATCACCAGAAGTGTTTGGTATGCATCCAAATGTGGAAATTACAAAAGATCAAGCAGAAACTCAACTTCTTTTTGACAACATTCTTTTAACATTGGTAGGATAGCTGTTTTCACAGTTTGAATTAAACTTACACTTATTTCATTGTTAATAAACTTAAAATAAACTTGCTTCTAATGTTACTAAAGTTTAGGGGGGGGGGGGGGGGGTGGGGGGGGTGTCAATCTGGATCTTAAAATAAATACTAGAATGGAAAACAAATAATGCTGTGTATGTCACAGTCTAAATCCTGAAAATTATTTTTCTATACTCATATGATAAAAATAAATCTTTTCCTGGTATGTCCGCAGCCGAGATCCATTCGAGAACAATTTAAATTAGAGCTGTAGCCATATTCAAGGGTCTTTGCATGCAGTACTAGGTCACATTCTTCAGCCTTTCTGTCTATGCCTGGAATTGTTGTTGTGACTATATAGTTAGGCTGTAGGTCTATGCTGTATGCCTGGATCATTTCCTGTGTTGAAGGATCTTTAGAAAAGATGTTACTGTTTTTGTAATATCTGCACATATACTGCTTGAATGTTCTATGTTTATTTGCACTTTTGTATTGATTCCTGTGTTTATAGAATAGCGAAGTTAAAAATAAATGTGCACTTACTTTCAGTATCATCAGTCTGTATGCATAGTGCAAGCTAGTCTGTTTGGTCACATTAAAATTAGTCAGTATAATGATGTTTCATACAAGTTTATGTTACCTGTTTCATCATGAGCACTGAATTTTATATATATATATATATATATATATATATATATATATATATATATATATATATATATATATATATATATATATATATATATATATATATATATATGTAGTGGAGAAAGACACTAAACTTTCATTAGCAATAACATCACCTAGTTAGTATGTGTTCATTTTTCTTTTTCTTCATTTTTAGCTCCCAATGGAGCATAGGTCCTCAACCAACTCACGCTAAGTCATTTTATCTTTTGCTATTGCATGCAGCTCTCCCAATTTCCTTCCCATCTTTCTAACTTCATTCTCCAGCTTCCTTCTCCATGTGTTTTTTGGCCTTCCTTTATTCCTATGCCCCTGTGGGTTCCAGTGCAAAGACATTCTAGTTATATTGTTCTCCGGTTTTCTCAGTGTGTGTCCAATCCAACACCAGCGTCTTTTTTTTTCACCTTTTGGTCCACAAGAGCTTGCTTAGTTCTCTCCTAAAGCTCTACATTAGTGATTCTATAATACCATTTAACTCCCTCTATTATGTGCAGGCATCAGTTAATAAATGTCTGTAATTTATTAGTAATTGTCTTAGTGGTTCTTCATGTACAAAAGTACTGATTAGACATTACAATTAAAAATTTTTACTTTAGTATTTCTTTTAATTTCTTTTGACCTCCAAAAATACCCTAGTGCTTACAGCACTTACAGAAGAGCTTACAGCTCTTCATGCTTTTTGTATTCTTATTTTATTATCTTTATCAGTTCTCCTGTCTTTATCTATATTACTTCCCAAATAGATGTACGACTCCATGTTTTGGTGTGGGGTACCATTTAGAGAAACCACAATACTATTTGCCTGATTTATTCTCATTATCTTTGTCTTTCTTTTATGGAATTTCAGACCCAGCTGCTGTGATTCTCACATCTAGTATATTTAATTTATCTTGCATCTGATTCCGTGAATGAGACAGAAGAGAAATATCATCAGCGAAGTCGAGATCATCAAGCTGTTTTATAGGGGTCCACTTTTCCATTCTTGGTGTTAGCAGCTACTATCCTCATAATGCAGTGTATTCCCAGTCAAAATAGAAGAGGCGACAAAAGACATCCCTGTCGCACACATGTTTTTATTTTAAATGTATCTGTTAGCTTTCCCTCATAAAGAACTTGACATTTCATGTCTTTATATATTGCCTTTACTAAGTTAACAATTTTCTGTGGGATTCCATAGTGCCCCGTCAATTTCCAGCAAGATTCCCTATCAATGCTGTCAAATGCTTTTTCATAGGCTATGAATCCAGTGTAAAATGGTGAGTTCAGTTCAATGCTTCACTCTATTATTATACAAAATGTGGTTATCTTGTCAGTACAGGATCTGTTTGGCCAAAAACCTGCCTGTTCATCTCTTAGCTTTTTATCAATTGCATCTTTTAATCTTTCCGAAATATTTCTACTTAATATTGTTCAAAGAACTGACAGCAACATAATTCCTGTTTAGTTTTCACACTCCTGTAGATCACTTTTTTTTAAAACAGTTTCACAAGATATCCTTCTCTCCAGTCTTTAGATGGTATCTCACAGTTGATATCCAGTTCCATTTCTAAAGGCTGGAAATCTGGAGGAACCTCTGAGCTTGGTCTAATTAGAAGTATTTAAAAATAGACTATTTTTGATTGATCCAGTTGGCTGACTATATTTACCTACTAATTTTCTTGTGTTACTGTCAAGTTCTCAGCAGACTTCAGTGCTGACATCTTCAGCTAACTGCTGCAACTCCTGGTACTTTTTAGAGACTGTTACTGAAAATAGTTACTTAACTTCTTTATCCCTGAGATAAACTACATTATACTGGTTTCTATGATTATAAGATGTTATGTATCTTTTAAGTTTCAACTTAATTTAACTTACCAACAGAAAATACATAGGCACCTCTGAAAGCCCTAACATCATAAATGGATGATCTAAACTTTTTGTTAATACATAGGTGATCAATTTGATTGGTTTTCTTATTGTCTAGTGATTCCCATGTTGCCTTATGTATTCTTTTATGGGGGAAAATACTTCCCCCAATAACATACTGATTTCCTGCACAAAAATGTGTGAATAATTCACAATTTTTTTATATTGGCCTTTCTTGCTGCATGTAAAATTCTTCCTTAACTCTTTGAGTCTCAAGGAACGCATCATACGTTCATAGGTTCCAATTTTATTACTTTCTTTACTACCTCCTGGGCCTGTGATGCTAAACCCCCTGGGACTCAAAGAGTTAACTGATGCATCTTTATCATTTGTTGGTGCATAACACTATTACTGACATGTTCACCATCTGTTTCTATGTTCTTAAATACACTTTTATTATTCTGGGACTCACAGCTTCCCATTCTGTAAGTGCCCTGTCTGCTTCTTTCTATAGCATCAGGGCCACTCCTTCACTGAGAGGAGAATTTTCCTGTGTTTCCTGAAAACAAAATAGTTTCCCCTGTATTTAGAATACTTTTCCCTTCCCCGGTCCATCTAGTTTCACATAACCCCAAAATACTAATTCTATAATGTTTCATATTCCTTACTACTCCCATTGTTCTTCCTATATCATACAAAGTTCTAACATTCCAGATGACAATTCTGGAGGTTTTCCTAGCTGAGAGGAGGTACATCGACAATCTGGACTTATCCATGGCTGGTTGGTTTTTGTTTCTATTGTTTTTACAGGATGAATTAGCCAACCTCAAGCCCAACCCTACTCTTGGTCGCCTCTTACAACTTGCCTTGTAGGGTGCAGTGTCATTATTCTTTACTTCCCGTGAGGCCCTGGGTGATACATGGGCGAGTATGTGTTCATTACTCACATAAAATGTGTCTTATCTCTTTTTATTTGTAAATCACCTTTTTGCTAACATATTTCTTCTCTAAAACATATATCATGCAAAAAGCAGCATATGTTAACAACACAAAATGTAAATATAAATTTTAAGCAAGTTATATAATCAGTATAAATTAGCCATTTTTGCAACTTGTAAGTAGCCTCTCAAGTAGCCTATTTTCTCTCTGATAAATTAAATGGTCCTGTTTCTCAGTGCCGTTTAATGTCATGCCTATCATTCTATAAATTTGTTTGAAAATATTTCAAGTGTTTAAGCAATCTATCTTAGAATATTTATTTGAAGCTTTCTGTTCAACACATTCAGTATTTCTGATCTCTTTATTAATTAGTTAAGTAATTGCTCGCCTGTTATAATACATGCAATAGATTAATCCTCAAAGAGTCATTTACATATTATAATAGATAAACATATTTGCACAACAAAATCTCTGTATGTAAAAGGATCATGTGTATTAATTTGTGCAGAACAGTTTCTCATTATTGAGGTTTTACTGTAGAATTACAGTGTGCAGATACCCAGTTTCTGTTTCATACATAATTTGTGTGCATTTAGGAAATTTGTATTATTTTAGTTGTATGTTGCATCTGATGAATTAATATAAATTTAATTGTTATTGTTGATCATTACAGGGAAAAGCTAGCTCTTCTGGTGGTAAGTCACCTGATGAAGTTATTGATGAAGTAGCAATGGACATCATTGACAGACTGCCTGCAAATTTTGACACAGAAATAGCTCTACGAAAATACCCAACTTCTTATACACAAAGTGTAGGCTTGTGTTGGACTTAGAGTCGTGTATAATTTCACTTTCAGAAGACTTTGATCTGCCTGAGAGGCAAGGACAGAAATAGATCTGTAAAACTGATACACGCAACACTCATATCAGCTGTCGCAACCAGAACCCCTGTTTACAGGGTAACGCGAAGAAGAAGAGAAGACTACACTTATATCAGGTCGAGTGTGTGGGAGTGTGTGGGTTTGAACCCTAACAGTGTCCACCCACATGAGAAACTGGACTAATATCTAAGTTATGTTGATCCTAGACAGTACTGGATAACCAAAATGACAATCAGTTTGACAGAACAAGTTCTGGAATTATTGCTTGGAATAATGGGCGCGCCAAGAATGATAACAATATTTCTGGGGCGATATCAAATCTCAGGGGTTTACTCTCCGGGATCAATCTCCGCCTTAGCCTCCATGGAGTTAAACACATTTCAGTGTGGTAGCTGTATCTAATATAGATTCAAATTACCCACACTTGAAAAAGACTGCCAAAATTATCTTCACGCTTGCAATTTCAGAAAAATGCTAGTTCATTAAATTACAGTGGTAACATCAACATTTAAGTTATACAACATTAAAACACATGTGCATGACGAGCATTAATGGCAATATCAGTTAAAATGTAAATCAATTTGATAGTGCCCTACGAAAAGGGTGAAATGTCAGCTAAGGAGTACTACAAAAGGATAAAGACACAACATGAGCAAAGAGACGGTTTCTATCATGAAATAAAGGTTGGAAATAGTTACGCTTACTTGGAAAATAAAAACACAATGCCAAAAGTTCTGTCTCAGGCTTAGGGTTTAAGCCCAGCAGATGATGTGCTGATGGCAGAGTCTCACTTCCCAGCCCTAGAGTCCACCTTATTATAACTTCTAAGCTCCTCCTACTTTACTCCTAAAACCACTCTCATTCAAGGATGTCACAGCTCCTCTCCATGGGTAAGTCTATTCACTGTCAGTCAAGACCGTACAACACTTGCTTGCATTCCCACGTTTAAATTCTCCTGGTCCATCAAGTTGGCCAGAGCTCAAAAGCAAAATCACACCTTCCTCCCTTCTTCAACCTGCCAGTTTCTGTCTCCTAACACATTTCCAGCTGACCAGGTCAATACTGGCAATCTGACCTGCACTCAGTTCGGTAACTTTGGGGGAGATAATCACAATAAGCTGGGTTGTCTGCTCCTAAAGGTCTGGCTAGGAGTTAATTATCTGACACCTTAGTTCTGCAAGCATAATCTCAAGCCACTAAGTCTGAGTTTTCACTTTCACTGGTGCCACTAGGTCTACCTGCTCAGTCTTATCTGTACCTTAACACTTTAATCTGGGAAAGAGTCTCAGTGTTTGATATCACCAGCAGTCCAGGAGAAATAAATAGGTTTGTTCTGGTCGCCTTACTTAGATTTAGGATGTATCCAAAACCATATTTTTCTGTATACCTTAAAATACATAGAAAAAAGTAGGTTGAGGAAAGACACATTCTGAAGTCACCAAGCATGTCATCACATCAGCCATAACTTAAATTAGCAACGAAAATATTGAAATTAACACAAACTTTGAATACACTGACACAGCTATAAACTGATGGGAACTATATCAAGACCTGATGGTTTTTTCAGTCAGACAGTGAAACAGTGTAGCAACATTTCAAAGGTTTTTTTTGTGTTTTTTTTTTTTTTTTCAATTCCTATCAAGCTCCATTACATATGAAAACCAGAACTCAACAGTTACCATATGTGTTTTGTTTGTTGATAGCATAGGTCAGCATCATCCTGACATAATTAATGGATTGGTCACCAAACTATTATAAATATCAGTGAGAATTATTAAAGGAAATTAAAAATGAAAAGATACTGGCCGTAGTAATATGAAAAATTCAACCGGATTAAGTGGCTTCAGCACAAGACTGCAAAGTAACAATTCTCATTTTATGCATTTTTCATATGGCAACATAATGCTAAATCGATAATGGAGAAACAAGCCAGATCTGTACATGCAAAACAAAAATTATGGACCAAACCAAAGTCCAGGAATAGACATTCGGCCAAGACTTCCTGCAAGAGTTTACATCCAGTGAACACAAACAAACATTTCCTATATAATATTTATCAATGACTTAGCTCCACCCAGAATATGACTAGAACGTTAGTACCAAACATTGTAGCAGCCAGTTTTTTTGTTTTTTTTAAAAAGTTTTTAGTCGTCATTAGCTGCTTGTCTTTTCTAGCATTTCACAAATTGATTGTCACCAGAATTGATTGGCTGCTGTATGGTTTTACTAGGCAATTATACTTGTAAATTAATTAGTTTGCTATTGCTGTCTGATGCTCAAATCATTATGAACACAAAGTTGTTTACAAATCGCCAGCAGCTGATTTAACATAAAGTGTGTGACAACTGTGAAATCATTCACATCTATTGAGCATTAGAGATGTGTTTTAGTAAAAAGTAAAGTGAAGGACTCTTTTCTATGCCTTAAGGCATATAGGGCGTATATGATTAAACCTATATTTGATAGACCAATCGGCACAAGATAGGTGGTGTGGTCAGCATCATGCCAGCCATGCTTACTTGCCGGGACTGCACCCGGTGCCCACTCAAGGCTGGGTCGACCAGGGAGCCAAGGTCATTGACATAGGTTTTAATGTTAAGTAATTATGGCAGAAATAATCTGAAATCAAAGTCTTTACAATTGTATAATTTCTCTGTTATTCTTAAATGTCTTCCTTTCACAAAATGCAACTTCATTTCTAGCCATCAGCTACAAAAACCTTTGATATTATTCAAATGAGATCACATTATTTCCCTGTATGTTACCAGAGCTCCTAAGAAGAAAAAAAAAGGAACATTATAACCTACTAAGCAGGTGATTGGATGAGACTAAGTCTGTGTGTGACTAGCTAAACAGTTATATAGAAAATATTTACATATTTTAAAGCAACCATGAATCAGCCTAAAGGACACTGAAGCAACACAATTAAGCTAGCAAAGATGAAATGTTCTATTTTTAGAATTCTAAATAGTAAAAATAAAAGGATGCTGAGAAATTCCCCCCCCCCCCCCCCCCTTTTCTCCAAATTGAATTCACCTAATTACATCAGTCCACCTAGGAAAGTCTCTAGAACTAGCGCTGAAATGTTAAAATTATGTTTCAGTTTGGAAATGTAGCACGGGGATTTGGGGAAATAAAATATTAAAAATTTGACTTCTGACGATATGCGAAATACATGGAATGGAACAGGCAAACACTGACGAAATACTGCAATAATTAGTGACTGTAGTGAGTATGGAATACTGTGTGAAAGCGAATTACAAACATTTGTATAGAAGGCAATGTAAACAGGAAAATACATAGAAACTAATGAAGGAGTTAGAAAATGAATGAGGGTGTACAAAAGACAGTGTTCAAATGGCCTTGTGGCAGAGGAAGAAATATCAGTAGCGAAAGAAAATGTCAAAGACTTATACAGCACCTTAAGAAATATATAGCAGGAAAATAAAAATTTAATGAGAAAGATCAACATAAAAGATCTAATGAACAGATGGACTTAGTATATGACCAGTTACACATACCCCCTCTCCTTTCCCTAGCTATATTGCCTGCATAAATGATGTAAGTAGGCACTTTTAGAAAAGATGTTGGTCCAGATGGTATCTCTGTCGAACCTGTTAAAGCTAACATAATCTAATAATCAAATACATAGATCAATTTTTTAGTCTGAGAAACTGAAGAAATACCAGAAAATTGGAAAGGATATCCGGTGAAAGTACCTAAAAGAATTGACTTGCAGGAATGCAAAAATTATAAAGGAATTTAATTTTTGGAGATAGAAAATTAACAAGAATCATTGGCAGAGATGCCATTGACAAACAAAGTATGGGATAAAATTAAACTCCTCCAAATAACTTTATTACAAAAGTTTGAACTATAGCTGTTTATTAACAACTGTGGCAGAATAAACATAACTGTTAGGAGGTAAATCTTCACCTGTTATTTAAGGAGCCTTTGTCATCAGAAACAGTAACTGTGGCCATTCAGGAACATATAGCACTGCTTGGGAAGATGGTGGATACTGTCCACAGATAACGACCTTGATTGCTCATTGGATCATGGTGCTTGAGAGCAGTGTTGGTTTATTTGAAAACTGAAGTGCTCTAATTTTATAAACATTTATTTTAAAATAAATTTGTGTGTATTACTACTTAACTAGGGCTTAGTGGTGATGTCCAGTGACATGGAGGAAGTTGCAGCTAGTATTCTGACAAGCAAAATTCCAGCCACCTTTAAGAGTGTTTCATATCCATCACTGAAACCACTTGGAAGCTATATCAATGATTTCCTTACACGTTTGCAGGTATATAAATTTGATTTGAAAAAAATCAAATTAGTATTCTTTGTCATATTATATATTATTTTTTGTTCTTTCTGGTTTAAAATTAAATGCATCACAATGTCATTAACTCTACCAGACCTGAAGCCCTGAACATAGCTTTACTCTTTACCAGGACTCCTGAGCATTGAAGCGAAAAAACCAACATTATATACAAAAAGATTAATTACATTCAAACAAGTGGTTAGAATAAGATGAAACGTGGAGACATTGTAGAAAATAGGTTTACCTTTCATCATTGAAATTTATCTCTGTATTTGGTGAAACAAAATTCCTTGTCCAACCTTCATCACCACCTAGATCTGATCCATCAGCTGTTTGAGGGACACGCCTCCCCCACCCCCAACCCCCCTTCTTTTACTATCGATCTAGATCTAGTTTTATAAGGTTCAAGATTCTCCTCATCACTCGTACTCTCACAGTCTGTGTCACTTGAATGGGAAACCTATTCTTGTTGATGGGCTTAAAAACTTTCTGTGTTTATTTTACATGAACAAATAATGTTCATTCACTTGTAAGAGAAATATTGAAGACATCAGACATAAAACTCATTTTGATTTCTAAACCCAGTAAGGTTAAAGCTGGGAGAGCCCTCAAGACCTTCCGGTATAAGTGGACAGGGAGCATGCAACAAAACTGCCAGAACTGATTTTCTACAGCCCCCATGGTGGACTCGAGAAGTAAAACAGGTGTGGAAGGCAAAGAGAGCTGCAATAAAGCAGCTAAAGAAAGTACTTCAAACACCATCAAGCTCATGAGAGGCAGGGGAGATGGCGGAGAACGTGAAAAAAGATAAGATGGAGGTTTTCAAGCACTGTGCTGCAGAGGCCAAAAGAGCAAAGTGGGAAACTTTTGTGAATGATATGCGAGGTGATAAAACAGTGGCGAAATTCTGGAAACTGCAAAGGCAGATGCAAAGAAAAGATCAGCCTATGAAAGTGGGAACAGCTTGTCGAGACAATGGTGTACATATGACAACAGACAAGGAGGGGAGGCTTTTCTCCTTAGGTTTAAAGCTCAGACAGATTATAATGATGTAGACATCAGGGATGCAGTTAGTGAGGAGTTAGCTGGCATCTTAAAGAATATGCATTATGAAGACATAATAGGAGTAGAAGACACTGCACAAGGGCCTGATGGGGTCAGGTATGGCATGAAGGCTTTGAACCATGTAGACCTGGCGGAGATGACTGAATGCTTTAACCAGAGCATTAAGACAGCATTGGTACCGCAGGACTGGGTGCACAGCTAATCCCACTGCTAAAACCTTTTAAAGGTCATTCAAAGCTCAGTGTCTTTAGAATCATCAGCTTACAAAATGCATTTTGGAGAAGATAGTTGCTGTAAAGCTGCAAGAATCTTTGGAAAGGGAGAAGCTTCTCCCAAGAGATGTGGGAAGCTACAGGCCAGGAAAGGGCACATGGGCAAATGCTGCCACTTTTGCTTTTGACGTCTATGAAGGGTTCCAGAACATACTGGAAACTATGGCGGTAGCACCAGATCTCGAGGATGCTTATAACAGAGTGAGATCTTGTTGACTGCACTATAGGAGAAGGAGATCAGTCCATAGCTGGTGAACTAGGTTGCAGTTGTCCTTTATTCATGTCAAGTTGCTCTCTGATTGGGCTTTTGGACCTCAGAACCATGCAGTTTGGCCCCAGGACTGCCACAGGGATCCGCCATCTCACCTGTGCTCTTTAACGTATATACGAGCAATGTTGCAAGTCTAGAAGCACCAGGAAGGATACTGACTTTTGCGGATGATATACTTGCATATAGGCAGGGGGAAGAGAGGGAACAAACAGCCCGGGAGCTACAAGCAACAGTAGACAAAGTGACTGAGTGGTATACAGAAATGAGGGCTGTTGTCCATCTGGAAAAGGTGTCTGTTTTGTGGTGTTCTCTAGACAACAGGATCGTTAGAGCTAATGTCCTAAGTCTCACTATAGATGGTAGAAACGTCAACAGAGAGAGAAAACTGAAGTACTTGGGAATTACATTTGACAAGAGCCGTCCATTCCTTTAAGGACCATGTGGAGAGTGTTGTGACGAGATGCCAAAAAGGACTTAGTGCACTTAAGACTATGGCTGCAATTGACACAGAGCAGAGAATGCTTTTCACACTATATCAGCACCTGATCCTGTCAGTGGTGGATTATGGCCTGGGACTGCTTACCGTCACAAAGAGTCTGATAGATAAACTAGAGCGCATACAGAACGCAGCAGTGCAGGTTGTTCTGTGTTGCACCAGTGGTATATATGTGATACATCCTTGTTTGCCGACTGTTGCAGGTAGGCACAAGGTGCTGTAGGCGAAGTAATATCTCAGGGTAGCTGTAGTCACAGACCATCCTTTGCAGGAAGCTCTGGGTGCAGTTAAGGGTCAGAGGCTGGTAATAGGGAAGTTATGGATGGCTCTGGCAGAAGACACAATCAGACAGGTTTGCATCCTTGAGAACATTAGGCAAGGAGAGGAGTGGGTCAAAGTGCCTGAATAGACAGACCTGTGAAAGGTCATAATCACACTGAGCCGGGAATGCAGAGACTGGCCAGCTGGTGCCACAGGGTGGAAATTCTGCAGTTAATTCAAGGAAATACCCGCTCAATGGATTTATTTACTCAAACGGTTCAGTGTCAAGAGGAAAAAGAAGTTATTGGTCAAATTTTGGTGCAGTTTCCTTTTTTAATACAAGCACACAATAAGGAGTAAATGTATATTACATAACAGTTGGGAGCTGTGTGGTCTCGGAGCATGGCGTCCGCCTCAAGTGCTAGAGGTTCTGGGTTCAATCCCTGGTATGGACTTGGTTTTTTTTTCATGTGGACTTGGACTTCTAGTAATTCTCCATGGTCTCGGTAGTCAGATCGGACGCCCGTGTGCATTGTTGTGTACGTAAAAAATCCTTGGCAGTTAAAAATTGAAAAGAGTAGCCTAATGGCGCTGCTCGGGCAAAATTTTGAGTTAAAAATCTATCCGAAGTATTTCAGGATCCTCACCAGTGCTAGAGAGCCATTGCACTATGCTGAGCTTCTTCATAATCCTTGCTGAGTTAGATGAAGAATGGAGCAGAGTTAGAAAAAGAACATAGCGCTAATTGGTTACTATCCATGTGCCATGGTGTTGATCCGTTGTTCAAACCTCAAACCTCATACATAACAGTTATACATACTGATAGACATTAAAAACAGATATTCTAAAATAAAGGCAATATGACTTGCGCATGCTCATGCCCAAAACATTTTTTTTTGGGTCCATATTTGTGCTGATTCCTTTGATCACTGTGATGGAATACTTTCAGTTGTGTAAAATTGTCTTTGTTTCCGCATACTCTTTGTCCACCTCTGCATCTTGTTGCTCCTTTGCTTCTTCTTGTTTCCTCATTTGCATTTTTCTTCTCCTGGGCCTCTTCTAGCTTTTCTCATTCACTTCCTTGGATTCTACCACTTGTTTTTTTCATTCTAGTTTTCTTTATTTCATTCTACTTTTCTTTCTTCCCCTTCCTCTACTTCTTCTCTTTTCCTACTTGTTTGTCCTCTTCTGTTCTTTTCATGTTTGCAAACTTACATTTTTATAATACGAGTAGAGTTATAGAATAAGTTCCTGCTTGTGCATAATACATTAGTGTTCTTAACCGAATTTTAAAACAGAAAACAGTCTTCCTGTTTTTAAAACATAAAGTTAATATGAAGTTAGCTTGTTAGTCAACAGACCATCCTCACTGCATTAAACCACTTAGTTCACAAGTGTTTGAATCCCTCCTGAGTACATCCCTGACCTTGTACATTTGTTGTGCTAGTATTCTGATAGGCAAACTTTCAGCCATAAATCTAATTATGGACATGCACTAGTTCCTTTAGGAGTCGTCGTGGCGTTGGTGGCTAGACGCCTGCCTGCGGATTGGAAGGTTGTGGGTTAGGGTCCTGACAAAGCAGGACTTTTTTCATAAATGACCTTGACTCCCAGGTCGACCCAGTCTTGAATGGGTGCAGGTGCAGTCCTCGGAAGTAAAGGTGGCTGGCGTGATGCTGACCACATCACCGAACAAGTGCCATCTATAAAAAATATACGTCTAGCCATATATTCGCAATACACCTAAAGGCATGGAAAAGGGACAGTTACTTTTTTCACAAGTCCCTTAGAAAGTTTAGAACAGCATTTCAGTTCTTAAGTTATTACTGTTTACTTCAATTCATTTGATGTCCAGATTTGAATGTTTTAACTTTGCACATTGTGTTTTCTTTCTTTATAGTTTCTTCAGACGTGGTATGACAAAGGGCCTCCTTCATCTTTCTGGCTGTCAGGTTTTTTTTTCACTCAAGCTTTCCTGACCGGAGCACAGCAAAATTTTGCAAGAAAGTTGGTTGATGTTTGCAGTCTTTGTGTAACATTATAAGGGTTATTAACCATATTTATTTTTATAGTCTAAACGTTAGAACAGGTTTTAACCAAATAAAATATATTGGCTGTATTTTTCTACTGTACACCACAGATTTATTGCTTGATGGTAACTTTCTTCTAGAAAATATGACGATACTCTACTGTAGTTAAAAAAAAAAACCTTTTCATGGCCCATCGACATATTATTAAACCTTTAACTGATAGACCAGTTGTCACTCTGGGTCAAGTGATCAGCATTACCCTGGCTGCCTTTACATTCCATGATTTTAGCTGGTACTCATTTTAGGTCGGGTCGACCTGGAAGCCAAGGTCATGTGGGGGGGTTTGGTTCTATGTGGATCTGAACCCACAACCTTAAACCAAACTGGAGTATGGCATGGGAGCATACTCCACTGCAGCCAGATCAAACCTACATAAACTGGTCAAAATACAGAACACTGGTCTCAGAATAATCACTGGAGGTATGAGAAGCACACCAAACCATGAGCTGGAGGCGACTTCTGACCTCTAGAGCTTGAGCTTTTGAAGGGAAGACAAGATGCTTACCCTAACAGAAAAATTCAAACGCATGAACAATAACCCCATGCACATAAAAGCAAAGAACTAAAAACTGACTAAAAAGACAAAGCTTTCACCATCTATCAAAATTGTACTATACAAAAAAACAGTGACAAGATCCTTCAACATGGGAAATGATCCGGGCATACAACATAGACCTACAGCCTAACTATATAGTCACAACAACAATTCCAGGCATAGACAGAAAGGCTGAAGAATGTGACCTAGTACTGCATGCAAAGACCCTTGAACATGTCTACAACTGTTATCCAAAACCCGAATGGACATATATATATACACCGATGGATCACAGGAGAGAAAAAACAAACAATGGAGGAGCTAGATCCATCATCCTGCTGCAAGATGGGACCACAGTAGAAATGTCATGTGCCTGCAGAAGACTCTCAACAAAATTCAGAGCAGAGCAGCAAGCAATTATTGATTCAGCTAAGGTGATTAAGAACAGAAAAATTTTAAACAGTAAAATAGTTTTCCTTTGTGACTTCATGTCAGTCCTCCAGGCGACTCAGAGGGATCCACAAAACAACATGGAAAGAGAACTGACCTGCCAGCAGACTTGCAGAAAACAATCAGTTCATTCTGCAATGGATCCCGGCTCACTGCTGCATACCAGGAAATTAGTTAGCAGACATCATCATCATCATCATGTAGCAGGTCCTTTCCAGAACGTCGCTCTCATCACGGTCTGCCTGAAAGAAACTTAGTCTCTCGCCAGCTCTCCCATCTCATGTACTTTCATACTCAAGGAGTCACTTATATCCTATGCCCATCTTCGTGTTGGCCGGCCCCTGCTCCTCATTTCTGGAACCATGCCTTCTGCTGTAATTTTTCCAATTCCCTCCTTCCTAGTACCATTTCTTCTGCTATAATTTTGTCCAGTCAGTGTGGTGCTTGATATGACCAAAATATTTCAGCTTCCAAGACAGAATGCTGTTTATTAGCCAATCTTTCTTGATGCTCAGATCTTTCAAGAAGTCAGTATTTCTCCTCTTCTTTGTCCAAGATATTCTGAGAATCTTTCTATAGCATTTCAGCTCAAAAGCCGCTATTCTCTTTCTTGAGAACTAGGAGATAGTCTACAACTCACATCCGTATGTTGCTACAGAAAAGATGCATGCTCTCAAAATTCTAATTTTGATCTCCTTGCTGGTGCTTAACCATAGACTTTTAAGGCTGTTTAATCTTTGCATTGCTATGGGCATCCTCCTTTTAATTTCTGTTAAACAGTCTCCATTGATATCTATTATAGAGCCTAGGTATTCAAAGTTTGTGACATTTTCCATTTCTTCATCATTTATTGTTATTTTTTGGGTGACAGCCAGTTTTGTCTGTGGACATTATTTTCGTTTTCTTTAAATTCAAGAACAGATTTTCATCTTCACTGTGCTTTTGGACCGACAATATTAAATTTTCTATTCCCTTTTCGCTGTTTGTTTTGTCATCTGCGTAGCAAAGTTTCGGAATAGGGTATCCACTAGTTTTGAGCGGATCATAACTGTCACAAGTCTGGTGATTTTTGACATTTCTCATTATGTTTTCTGTGTATATATTGAATAGGTATGGTGAGATAATGCACCCCTGCCTCACTCCCCTTTGCACCTCGAACCAATCTGATGTTTCACCAGCTGCTCTGATGGCTGCTTATTGTTCGTGATAAATATTTTCAATTAAACGCACCGTGCCCTGGAAACCCCATACTTCTCATAACAGTCAACAATTTCTGATGTTGGACACAATCACATGCCTTGCTATAATCAATGAAACAAGCATGAAGATCTACATTGTATTCTCTACATTTTTCAAAAATTATTCTCATATTAAAGACGTGATCCCTAGTTCCTCAACCCGGTCTGAAACCCGCTTGTGCTTCGTGTAGCTCATATTGTAATTTCTTTTTAATTCTCTTCATTATAATTTGTAAGAGGATTTTGCTAGCATGACTTATTAATGCGATGATTCGGTAGTTGGAGCATAGTTCCAGATTTTCTTTCTTTGGGAGAGGGATATAGATTGTTCTTTTCCATGCTTTAGGCTGAATGCCACTGTTCCAGATCTTCGTGCACAGTGCATGGTTGATTTGGACTCTGACCTCTCCTCCTGCTTGAATTAGTTCTGCTGGTATTTTGTTGCAACCTGGTGACTTTCCTTTCTTCAGCCTGTATATTGCTGATTTTATCTCATCTAGTAAAGGCTCTGGTTCTTTTTCATAACTTTTATAAGTTGTTTTTGGATTACTTGTATTTTGGATTACTTGATACATTTCTCTACAGTATTCTTTCCATCTTTCTAATATGACTTTGGTTTCTGTTAATGTTTTACTGTTTTTATCACTTTTTACACGAAAAGAAGGCCTGAATTCACATTTCAATGTTTTAATTTCTTCAAACATGTCTCTGTAAAATCTCCTCTGATAGCTCTTCTGATTTATGTCGTGTAGTTCCCACATGCATGGCTTTTTGTTTCTGTCCCTACTTGCTTTAAATTTCTTCTTTCTTCTATCAGATTGAAAGTTTTTTTTTTCTTTTATGTAGATCTGTTTCTTGTGTAATTTTTTAGGAATCATATTCTAAACTGTTGTAAAAATAATGTTTCTTGCTTTTTCTGCCAACTCATCAGGTGTCATAAACTCCTTCACTGCCATGAGTGCCTCAGATTTGTTTTTAACCTCAATACTGTAATCATTCAGTAAATTACTCAAATCAAAACGTATTGGCTCAGCCTCTTTCAACACTTTTTATAGTTGTATTTTTCTGCAACAAGAAGTTTGTGGCACAGTCAGCTCCAGGGAGTGTCTTTGCAGATGTTATATATTTCCTCCATTTTTGTTGTATTAAAAAAAAATCAATTTGGTTCCTTTTCCATCCGGTGAAGTCCAGGTTTAGAGCCTTCTTGGGTTTGTTTAAATAGTTTGTTGGTAATAGACATATTCTTTTCTATACAGAATTCAATCAGTCTCTCTCCACTATTGTTTCCGTCTCCTATGCAGACTATTTCCTCTTTCTCTGTTCTACCTCCACCAATTTGAGCAATCAAATACTACATGATATCTCTTTCTTCTACCCTTTTTAACGTCTCTTCTAAACTGTTAAAAATTTTGAGTTAGCAGACAGACTTGCTAAAAAATAGAACACAGGAGAAACAACACACCCATCCATTGTCATTACCAGAAATAATAACACTTATCAAGGGAAAATACAAGAAATTGTGGAGAGAACAAACTAACAGTAAACATCCACAAGACCCCATCAGCAAACTCAACAGTAAGCAACATACAACAGTTTTCTGTTTACGAACAGGACACTTCAGGCTTAACTACCACATGCATTAAATAAAGATTGTACAGTCCCCACAGTGTGCCTGTCAAGCAAGACCACAAAACACCTGAGCACATTCTGCAGACCTGCCCACTCTACATACAACTTCAAAAAGACACCTGGCCTCAAGATCAAAGTGTGCACAGCACGCTGAGGGGAACCATGAAGGACCTGCTATTGACATGCGAGTTCATAGAGGCAACCTACCTGATGGTCTGATCTGAGCATAGCAAACTGAACGCAAAGAAAGACAAAGACAAACCCACAACCTTCAGTCCTGCATCTAGCCACTATGCTAAGGCAGCTCCTGGTCTGCTATAATAACACTGAGTAAAAAAGCAAGTTTTGTAAATTTGTTTTCTATCTTTGCTACGCATGTGTATGAAAATGCAAGAGGCAGAGAAAGATCTACTTTGAAAGCATACAAAAGTGGACAACAAATGATAAAAGAAGCATCAACACAGATGAAGCTTGAATTTGGAATACTATGATCATCTGCTCATGACCAGGCACCTTGAAAAACAAATATTGTTACGTGACAATTTAAAGATCTGGGATCAATAATTTAAAGAGCTTGTAATACCAAGCCAATAATCCTATCAGATCATGTTGAGCAATTATTCTCTACACTCTATTATCCCATGATGACATCTTTAACTCTTTGAGTCCCAAGGAACGCATCACGCGCTAATCGCTTACTATCCAGGTTGCCAATCAGCACATGATGCATACTTTTTTTTTTAACCACTAGCCAGTATAACAACACAAACCTGCAGTTTTGAATGGTATTACCTTTTCTTTGTGTTTGATAATACAAGTGTTGATCATTAGGCATATTTGAAAACATTCGTGGTGGTGGTGGCGGCGGTGGTGGTGGATGATCAGCAAAGCCACATGCATTCAAGAGCCTTGAAGACCAGAAACGTGCCCATTATGTCGAGATAAAACAAATCTGATCTGCATTTGAGCAGTAAATAGTAGAAATTGACCACACACACACAAAAAATGCTGCCACCAAAGACAAACCAAAACCCAACCTCTTTACTTTATTGCACTACAAGGCCCAGCTTTTGCAGTAGGTCATTACCCAGACTTTTTATTTTCTATCAAGAAAGAATCTGGTACTCACTAAAAAGACTCTAATACTCATCCGGCAAAATATACATTGCAATAAGGCTAAAAAATTAATGCTACAAAAAATTTCAGCCATGTGGATATTGTGTATTCTCTGTTTTATCTACTCCCTCTTGTCCCTGTCTCTTTTCCATCTTCAGGAGACATCTGTGTAGGGTAGCTTTGTCTTTTTCTTCATCTGACTGTAACACCACACCCCGTTGTTCATCTTTAGCATAATAGAGGTTTGTTTCTCCTCTTCATCTTGTGGTGCAGCGGCCAGTATTTTCTGAGAGATGTTTTTAAGCCTATTTCATAGCAACACTTTTTCCAACATTGTGTGCTTAGACTCATTTGCAAGTTGTTTAAAGTGTTTAGTGAGTGGCTTTTCTAAGTTTAAAGTCATTTTTTTTTATAAAATCAGAAAAATTCAAAGATTTTCTGTATTTCTCTCCATCAATGGTGGCACTTAATTTCTCTGTCCGGGCTTCTGCGACTTCAGGTGGCCACCATGGAACAGAGACTTCAAATGCCTCAAAGAGACAGATATGTATGAACCATCCAGAATATTGAACAACAGCATGAAAACCAGTATTATCCCTGATGACTGGCTCCACAGCTACCTCAGACCGGTTCCTAAGCCAGGAAAAGATCATACAAGAATAAATGGCTACAGAATCATCCCACTTCAGAACCCTGTAGGAAAACTCGTGAAGAAAATTGTGGCCAGAACGTTGATCCAAACCTCGGAGTCGGGTGGTCTATTGCCCGCTACACTAGGTGGTTAACGACCAGGGAGAGATACATGGTGTAATCCTGGAGGGTATGGAAAAAGCTGCCGCCACTATCGACTTAGAAGATGCCTACAACAACGTCTTATATATACAACATGCTCCCCAGTTTTCTGTTTGCTATACACACAGAAACAAAATGGGTGAACTCGATTGCAGCAGCGCTTTTTGAAAGAACAGTGTCGCTGCGATGTGGTGCAAGGGCATCAAAACCTCAATGTGTTCTAGTGGATCTACCCCAGGAATCACCATAGTCGCTGGTGCTCTTCAGTGAGTACATAGTAGGAGTCACTAGTGAACCAAGTGTAGGCCTATGCAGAACAATATCTTATGCAGATGATATCCCTGCGTACCGTCGAGGTAGAAACAGGCACAAAATTACAACCACACTACAAAATACACAGATTCAGTGAGTGGTGCCGGGAATCAAGAACACAAGTGAACCCAGCAAACGCTTGCTTAACATGGTTCTCTCTGAATTCCCACATTGTCAGTACACCAACGCCAGTCATAAGCATGTGTGGTATGGATATTGAGAGAACACACCATGAAATATCTGGACAGGACATTTGACTTATGCTTGTCATACAAGGTTAACTTAGACAGCATCATACTTTAGAGCCAGTAAAGGTCTGACAGCACTGCTAGCTGCAGCTTATATTAAACATGTGTTAAGCATCATTGACCATGATCTTGGCCTCCTCACTGTAAGCAAAACCCAGCTAAAATGACTGGACTGAGTACAAAATAAGGCCATGAGACTCGTACTTTGATGTGCAAAAGACACCTCCTGCCACACCATGCGATAAGTCCTGCGTTTACTGACAGTGTCCAGCAGACATAAAATTGCACAGGTCAGGGCATACATGAGGGTACCAGCATTTGTTAACCACCCACTGCACAAAGCTAGACAAGACACAAAAGGAAAGCATCTCAAAAGAGGCCATTTCTGGATGGCCAAGGCTGAAGATTGACCTAGATGAGATCAGTCACAAAAAAGAATAGATGAATACACCCAGAATCAAGGTCAGCATGGGCATACACAACACAAATGATGGGGGGGGGGGGGAGACAATAAAAGAGGACAGCAGCACTAGCCCAGCAACTACGTCAAGCATGACCACGAAGATAGCCACTGCTTCTAGAGCACTAGCAGGGGCAGCAACAAAAACAGCCAAACAGGCAGTAATTGTATCAGATTCTGTGAACCTGCTTCAGAAAATAGAAACAAGTGGTATGCGCTCTGAATGGGCAGAAAGCAAATGAAAATCTTTTTTTACCTCCCTCACCCATATCTACACACCTGGTTTTGCTGGTGTAAAGGGTAATGAGCAAGCAGACCAACTGCCAAGCAGTGCACTAATGCATGTTGGAAGAAGCATGCACAAAATAGATATCATCAGCACTGTACTGACTAGGCTAGTAAATAATGACAAATCTCTGACACTTAACACAATTGCATGACATGGGAATAAAGCATGGTGAAGCACATCTTTGCCGCCTTTGAGGCCAAGATATGATATGTTATAACCGACCTCTCCCGGGAAGTAGAGGCGGCCGGCGTGATGCTGACCACATCACCCATCTTGTGCCGTTGGTCTATAAAAATATAGGTCTAGCCCTATATGCCCTATACGCCTAAAGGCGTGGAAAGGGTCCTTTACTTGTACTTTTACTTACTTCTCTCTTTCACACACACACACACGCATATATATATATATATATATATATATATATATATATATATATATATATATATGTATATATATATATATATATATATGTATATATATATATATATATATATATATATATATATATATATATATATATATATATATATATATATATATATATATATATATATATAGGTAAAAAGTATATTTTATTTCATTTAACAATTATATTCATCATCATCATCATAAACCACTTCTGCTATTAAGCATCGTGGGAATAATAATTTACAATCCAGTGCATGCTAGCTGGCACTTCCTAATATCATGCTATGAAGGCGTAACATATCTTTAATGTTGTCAATCCATTTTTTGTATGGCCCTCCTCTTGCTTGCTCTTGTACCTGATCTTCAGAGATGTAGTGCCTGTGATGGTATCTGATGTTGCTGTATTCTAACAAGATGGCCAAACTCCTTGTCTGCTGTTTGTTGATGAATCTAGTACAAGGTTTTCTCACAATCTGTCTGATAGCATCATTATTCTAGACTGGCAGCTTTTCTCAAGCTAGCATCTAATCTTGAAGGTGGGGATTTTGCATATGTGAACTTTCTGTAATGTCCATGTTTGGCTCAATATATGTTAATTTTTTTTTTGGGGGTGGGGGTGGGGGGGGGGGGGGGGGGGGGGGGGGTGGGGGGGGGGGGGGGGGGGGGGGGGGGGGGGGGGGGGGGGTAATCATAATTAATGTTTTGATGTGTTCACAATGGTGACAACTGGTATGTAAGTGTACATGCTTTCTGACATCTGGCTACATTTTCTCCTGTCAGTTCTCCTATTTTCTGTGTTCAAAATTCCTATATATTTTAACTCCCTTACTTGTTTCAGGCCAGAACCATTCATTTGTATATGTACAACTATGTGTAACTATTGGTATCGAAACTCTTCGCTGGCTGCTGAAGATGGGGACGGAGCGCTTATGGGAATGCCCCGAGTGCTGTGATGTTGGTTCTTGAATCAAATCAAATCTAATCAGTTGTATATGTAGTGGACCAGGGGCTCTACTGACTTGCATTATTTCATTATTGTATTTACTGCAAGCCGAGCTTAACCGTTAATGTGGTTTGCAGTCTGTCTTTCTTGCTGTTGACCGAGCACAACAAATAGCAGTTGATTAATATAGTTGTGTGTGAAATTTATACTGTCTTTTGAAAATTAGCAGTAACATGTTGTCTGTTTATGCATGTATATTTATATGAAGAACAATCACCTCTAATTTGTCTATCAAACTGAAGCATATTTTCTTTATATGCCTTTCATACTCAGTATACAGCTATGTGTTTAACTCATGAAAATTTGACGTAATCAGAATTTATTTAATTTTCATATCCTGGTAATTTATTGAGACTTTTTTTCTGGATACTTTCTCATTCAAAACTAAATTATTTTAAACTCCTGCTTTAAATTCCCTGACACTCACATATTATTTATTAGCACTTACTATATCCGTAATATATGTTTCGTGTTTCTTCAAATAGGTACACAATTCCCATTGATCTGCTTGGGTATGACTTTGAAGTGCTTGAAGATAAAAAGTACACTTCACCACCAACAGATGGTAAGTGTTAGTTTTAGAAGTTGTGTGGTTCAAAAGTTGTGTGAAAGTTCACAGTGTAACACTGGTGTGGGTATTCTATATATGAGAAGGGTAAAACTACAGTAAATCATAACAACAGAGCAATTTGAACAAAATAGAAGCATGGGAGATCTAAATGGGTAATGTATTTATGTAGGTAAGAGTCCACAGGGATAATGAAGCTCTGCCGCCTTAGGTCTCTTTTAAAGTGCCACAGTCCATCTTCCACTGTCTGCCTCCACAGGAGTCGGTCTGCAGTTGGTCTCCCCCAAATGTCTGTGTCAGTGTTGATATCTTTCAGGTTATGTTTACATATGTTACAGCACAAATAAATTTCTACGACAGGAGACAAAAGTTTGAATATAGTCATGATGACCGGTGCACACAGCATGGCCTCTAAGAAAATGATGCTTTCCAATGCTTTGTATGTCATAAACTCAGAGTTTCCTTTATGAAAGACTGTGATCCATCAGCTGTGTTTTATATTGTCATGTAAACTTCCTATTTTGCATCTAGAAATGGGCTATCTTCCGAATAACGGGCACAAAGATGGCGGCCGCAAAATATCCTAACGAGCCTCAGTCATGTGTCAATTGCTCAGTTCCAGCGACTTAATTTGCGGTTTTCCGGCGACTACTGCCAGCGCCACATGTCCCCCACGCCACTCACGCAGCATGGATTGGGGCTAAACTAGATGGCTAGGACTCACAAGCAAAGCTGCAGGAGATGCAGAAGCTGCTGCTCGTGAGTCCTAGCCATCTAGCTTAGCCCCAGTCCACGCCGCGTTGGGGACTCTTGGCGGTGGCGGTAAAACTGCAAATTAAGTCACCGGAAGTGCGCAATTGACACGGGACTGAGGCTCGTTAGGATATTTTGCGGCCGCCATCTTTTGTGCCCGTTATTCGGAGGATAGCCTAGAAATGTGTTTAATTTCTACCTTTTGAAACAGTATAAAGAATCAGTTCCTTGCCATATTTTCTCTGCAAAATTGTACTTGACTGGTGATGTAGCTTTGTTCTACATCCTTTTCTCTCACCCATTTTATGAGGCTGAGTATAATATGTGACCATATGATGGTAAACATTTCAACCCAAGTGGTTTGAATCCATGTCCATCAGGGCCACAAGTGAGCAAACCAACCATTTCACAAATACGGCCACACAACTGATGAAATCCTGCTCCAGAAAACAGATTTACTAGAAAACCTACAATTTATAATCCATAACTGCTTTTGTGTTTGCAAAATTTCCCATTCTGATCACAGTCTCTATATAAAAATGTAAATTTCCATTTCCCAGTGTTTGTGATTTTTGTCTAGCTAAGAATACCTGAAAAAAGAGTGGCTTAGGCACATAGCATTCATCCTTAACTGTAGCAGTATAGTGCAAAAGTCTAGATGTAGAGGATTCCTTTCACAAAATAACTTGCTGATGTTAAACATCATCTCTCTCTGATGTACGATAAATGGAACAAATGTCTGGCCTTTTATTTAAACAAGTGTAAAATAATAGACCTTCAGAGAAGAAAGCAAATGTCATTAAATTGTGCAATCTACATGTATTGCTTGTGTCTTCTTTGTTTAAATTTACAATAGAGAAACATTGCTTTGATTGGCATTGATTGACACTGAACCATGGAGAGCCCAATTTCATTACATGGTTGCTTGACTTTGTGGCTGAAGTTTCCTTTTGGGTAATCGACAAGACTAATCCTTCTTAGACATGTGTTTCAACATAATTGGTAGGTTACAGCATAACTATGCCTTTCATAGAGGCATCAGTATTCTAGATTAGCAGCTTTTCTTAAGCTAGCATCTCATCTTGAAGGTGGGGATTTTGCATATGTGAGCTTTCGGTAATGTCCATGTTTGGCTCAGTTTTCTTCTTCTTCTTCTTTCGTTCGCATGAAATAAATTATCTATATCTGCAATGCTGTCTCTCTTTTATAAATTTTACTGTCTTTTGTAATTCACTAAGCGGCCTGTAAAGTTTGACTTCCACAAATGTCTCTTTTGGCCAAAGGTTTTGCCTGAAAGCGTTGAATCTGGGACAGTCTTGAAGGATGTGATCTGTTGTTTCAGGTGCCAGTCCACAAATACACATGGCTGATTGGCCAATCTTAAATTTGTTGTACATGTGGCAGCGAAGTCGATTGTGCCCTGTTCTAAGGCGAAGGATAATGACTTGCTCTGGTCTGTCCATAATATGGTAATCGTCTTGTACCAGTTTCAGTGGCATTCTGATTGATTTGATCATTCTCTTCTTCTGTTGATAAGAGACTGGTATGGCAGGATGTTCTTCAGTTGCACCTTCCTTAGCTAGTTTATCAGCTCTTTCGTTTCCGGGAACTCCACAGTGGGAAGGTATCCACTGCATTTCTAATTTACAACGGTTGCCTAGTTCAGATAATAGTGTCCGTATGCTTGGTAATTTTCCAGACTGGAGTGACTGAAGTACCGCTTTTGCATCTGTCAGAATTACTACTGGTTGTGAAAAATACCCTGTATTTAGTAGTTTCTCTGCCGCTATCTTGATGGCTTGAACTTCTGCATCATAGTTGTGACAGTGCTTTCCTGTTGGTATTTTGGCTGTATCCCTGGTATTATTATGATACTCAATGTACACTCCTGCACCTCCGTTTCTGACTGCGCTTTCTGCCAACCCATCTGTGTAAACACGGACCCAAAGATTATGTGGGTATTCATCATCAAGTAGACTGAGGGTGGCTGTTTTGCGCTGCACACTGTTTTGTTCTTCCTTGTCAAATACCCCTTTCACTTCAGTCTTGATGTGTATAGGAAACTTATACTCCTCTCTCCAGGGGGTCCGTTCTGGGACAGCATTTAAGGATCTATCAGTTGCAGGCAAATCAGTGATTTGTCTGCCGAGCCGTTTGGCCTGGTGGATAAAACTACTTCTCTTTAGTCGTCCCAAAGCCAAATTTTGGAATCTTTCATTCATAGGGTGACTGGGCATACTAAGAAACTTGGCTCAGTATTGATTTGAATATGTTAATTTGTAATTTTTTTTTCTGAAACATAATTAATGTTTGGATGTCTTTACAATGGTGACAACTGGTGAATAAGTGTACATAAAGGCTTCTGTAATGCAAAGAGACTTTTCATTACAAATCTCAGACACAATATCTCTCACTTGGGCAGTGTACTCAGTCAACCACTTCCAAGATTTGGTTTAAAGTAAAACTCCAGGTATAACTTCTTTTACTGGATTTTAAAGAATATAGAAAATATTTTTGTGAATTTTGACAACTAGCCAATTGTCCCTTTACTTGTGTAAACATATTGTGTCAGTGTCTTTTTCAGGTCAGTTAGTCTGCTTAATTTAGTCATTATGTAGACAAGTTCTGCCAGGAAATGATGACAGTAATTTTTTTTTTTCATTTTTCAAATAGGTGTTTATGTTTATGGTTTATTTTTGGAGGGTGCTCGATGGGACAGAGAAGGGAAAGTCCTAAACGAATCCTGCCCAAAAATACTGTTTGATACTCTTCCAATGGTATGTTTTTTTACATTAACATTATGTTATTCTTGTTATCCATAGTTTGTTAGTAAATTGGTTTGCTTACTGTAAATTTTAAATCATTATATTTGCTTAACTGTTATAGACATGTATAGAAGTAATGTTGCCATTAACAATCAGATACATAATAGTCATAAAACATAAACTCCTGAACAAAATATTGTATGAGGAAAGACAGAATAAAATACACTGGAGGTAAGAAAATGTTCTGCAGAATACAGTAGAACCTCGCTTAACGAGCACCTCTCGTAACGAGTAATTCGCATAACAAGCAAAACAAATTTAATATTGTTTTCAGGTGACTGAGGGGACCAACCTCACTCTCAAAGAGTTTTGAAAAAATCACTTCCACGTCGTTGCCTGGCTCAAGATGATCGACAAGGTGGGGCAAGGGTTTACCAAGGGAACCCTAGCTTCAGCTTGGAAGAAGCTTTGGCCAGAGAGCGTTGTCGATTTGTGACTTTGAGGAGTTTGAGACAGTACCTTTAAAATCTGTAGTCAACGAGATTGTGTCTTTGGCCATTATCATGGCATTGTAGGCGGATAACAGTGATATCGAAGAGCTCGTGGAAGAGCACAGCCAAGAGCTGACCACCCAAGAGCTTATGGAGTTGCATTGTGTTTCACAGCAAGAAGTTTTGGAGGAAAGTTTGTCAGAGGAGGAAGAGGTAACTGAAAAGCAACAATCTTCTGGCAAAATAAGAGAAATGCTGAAAGCATGGAAAACTGTTGCATCTTACATTGAGAAGCATCACCCTAATAAAGAAGTGGCTATGCGCGTTGCAAATTTATTTAATGATAATTCTGTATAGCATTTTCGTCGGTACTCCTGTCAAATCCGGACGAAGACTAAAAAGCCTTGGACGACTTAGTCAGAGTTCTCTCCCTTTGCCGCACTGCGAACAGTGATCGGAAAAGCCAACGAAACAAAGAAGACAGTCACGTCGACATCAGGGCTGCCAATGCTTGGTTGTTTCCCCCAGATCTGGGTTTTTTTCGACGCTGCAGGACAATTCTAGGTTGTTTTTTTTGGGTGTGTTGTGTTTGTTGGTTTTTGCCGATTTGTATGCTTTAATGATCGATAAATTTGCGTGGTTAGGGGTAGGGGTTAGGGCTAGGGAGTAGGATTAGGATTAGGGTTAGCGGTAGGGTTAGCTGTAGCGTTAGATTTGACAATTTTGACGCCGGAGTTCCCTATAATCGCGCACAGTTCCATACACACACAAACAATCGAGGGCCTCTGGATGCTGGTGAAACGCACAATTCGCCAACGATTGGGCACCAGCCGCACACTATTGGCGTCATATTTAGCAGAATTCCAGTGGCGCCACGCCCACAAACATCAGATTGTCGGCCACTATTTCCAAACCCTACGTCAAAATTTTAACATCTAACCCTAACCCTAACCCTACCCCTAACCCTAACCCTAACCCTACCCCTAACCCTAACCCTAACCCTACCCCTAACCCTAACCCTAACCCTACCCCTAACCCTAACCCTAACCCTACCCCTAACCCTAACCCTACCCCTAACCCTAACCCTACCCTTAACTGTAACCCAACAACCGCATGATGATGATTACACAACCATTCACAATGCCTCACGAAACCGTACGCAGCCCTACACGCAACCGCAGGATGATAGGTAAGTGTGTCGTTTATTTCGTTTGTTTTCCGATTACTGTTCGGAGTGCGGCCAAGGGAGAGAACTCTGACTAACTCGTCCACGGCTGTTTATTCTTCGTCCGGATTTGACAGGAGAGCCTTTTCGTCAAATGTTGAAGCGTCCACAAAAACAAATATCTCAGGACATCTTTCTAGTAAAAAAAAATTAGCTATGTATCATAATTTTTTTGACTTTTTTTCTGCAAACGAATTTACATTCCAGTTGGGTTCGTTCTGCGTTTGAAGAAAATATGAAGATGATTCACTCTCCTTAATATGTATATAATTTTCGGTGAATAAACGTAATACATTTTGTATTTTTTTCGACATGGAACTCATTATCGTATTTTACATTAATTTATATGAGAAAAAGTGTTTCGCATAAATAGTGTTTCTCTAAACAAGTATGATTCTAGAACAAATTATGCTCGTTAAGCCAGGTTCCACTGTCTAAAGACATCTGTATATAATTCTATAATACATTACACACTTCAGAAGTAATATATTTTTTTACAAAAAAAAGGTGTTTTTTTTTTAGTTAGAATCAGCTTTGTTGCCCTGTGGTTTATCCATATGACTTTGTCTATATAGAGCAGCTAGTCACTCACAGAGAGTGATGCTGAAAGCATGAGTTTTTTAGCACCAGCAAGGATGTGCATTTATCTTTGACAAGTTTCACGGAATCAAATTGAACTGAATGACGCAGTCCAAAAATGAATCTGTGATTTTCTGAGGTATGGCCACATACCATTTCACTTCTGAGTTATTTGGCCTAGGATGAAATGAGTACATGCATTATTGAGCCATTATGAAAAGCATTTGAGAAAAGAAGAGGGAAAGCAATTAAGAGTTACACTATAACCTACCAGGCATGTCATAATAGATGTCTTGTTGACTACCTCAGGGAAAACTTTTGGTGCAAAAGTCAAGCAACAAGGAATGTACCTTTATATAAAGGAAACAAAATATAAACTGTTTAAATACTATTGTAGCAGAGGATAAAACATTGTGTTTTCTCAATAATTCATTATCTAAGTGCCAAAGTGCTGATGAAAGTCACCATCATCAACAAAAATAAAAATTCATTGACAAAAGGGAGTTTTTAAACAAATGTTTCATACTGAGAGGAGGTTTAATGCCATCTGACTGCTATAGATGCACTTTTTTTTTAATCGATCACCGGCTGTGAATTCCAGTGGAAGGTCCCGGTTAATCGTCCGCTTGGACTTTTGGCTTTCACCTGGACCTGATTTTTGCGTGTACAACTGTTTTTCATTTCCCTGCCTCATGGGCAGCTGTACTCCGACTTCGAAGGAAGGCGTCAGGCCTATTTCTAGGTTGACTGTGGCCATTGTTTTGTGTGGGTCGAGACGTTGCCTGATTTGTGTGGTGTCCACTTTGTCTCCTCCGCAGGTATTGCCCTCGGAGTACCCCTTTGGGGCAGCCCCCTGTGGAACAGTTAGCCCTCAAGGGAAGGCAGGGGCAGATCATGGGCATTCCCTGCCATCCAAGGAGGCTTCCATGCATGCAGAGCCGGCACATGGCGCTCTGGTTCTGGGCTCACCCAAGGAATCGTCACGTCCTGCACATGCCTGCTTAACCTCACAACCATATCAGGCCTCCCGCTCGACAGGGGTTGCGCCCTCTGGAAGTCAGCGGGGAGCAGCCCGTGGGTTTTGGACTTTTGTGACCACACAGATAGGTACATTCTTTTTTTTTTCTTCGCACGTTAGATTTCTTTGACGAGCCGTTAGCCCGACAGAATTTTACATCCTGCATCAGGCATATCGTTATCAGTTTTGTCCCAACACTCGGGCGAGTGGGGTCTTTGGGTGTGGACATTCGGTCTTTTTCAGTTCAATACAAATTTTGATGGTCAGATTTTGATCCGTATGATCTAGTTTTGTCAGACAATTAGGATGGTTGCTGTTGTGGTATACCTCAGCGCGGTGTCGACGACACTGAGGGTTAACCGAGGATGTACATGAGTGGCCAGCCTATGGATGGTTGCTGTTGTGGTGTACCTCAGCGCGGTGACGACGACACTGGGGGTTAACCGAGGATGTACAAGGATGGCCAGCCTATGGATGGTTGCTGTTGTGGTGTACCTCAGCGCGGTGACGACGACACTGAGGGTTAACAGAGGATGTGCAGTGAACAATGTTCTCTTTACTCCGCAATCTTTCAACCAAGGGTTGTAATTTTGGCTGTACGTTTGGCAAACCTACTCATGTTCCTAATGAGTTTTGATAACATTTTTCACCCAAGCGTTTGGGGGCGGGCTGATGAGAGCCACAAGGACACATCACCTCTGGGGGCCGCCGAACTCCGAGATCCCCTGACAGCTCTGTTAATGCTCATTTGAGACATTATCAGTGGCGCACGACGAGGACGTGCTGTAGGGGTCTTGCGTGAGGTTCCGTACAACCAGGATAGTTAAGGACTGGCGCCCGAGTGACGTACGGAGTATTTCCTTATACACATCATGTTGGACTTAACTTCCCCTCACGCCTGTGACATAAATCACCGCCACACAAAAAAATATAGATGCACTGTTTTTTGTGTGTGTAGACAAAGAAGACAGCACAAACTTCAAAGCAACTTTTTCTTACCAAAAATGGTGCACCAAAATTTCTCAGATTGTCTCTCAGTAAAAAGAAAATTAATTTGTCATGATTGTCAGTGTCAGAAATCAACCATGTATCCATTCTCTGACTTTGACAATAAGTTAATTGCCATGTCCAGAAATTAGACGTCCCTCCCTAACTTCATCTTTAAATCGTTTCCACACCACTTCTGGTTGTGAAAAAACAGAAAGATCTAACAGAATATGCTTGCTGCAGCAACATTCGTAGAAAGGTTCTAGTAAAGTGAGTAAAGTATCTAGGGTATCACCAGACAACAGTCTGATTAGTTATACATGTATAAACAAATTTAGATTCCTATATTATGTATCAGTAATCAGAGGTGTAGAATAGATTTATATCACCATGTTGTTACAAGTAAAATTAACTTGAAACTCATGAGACCTATAACATTTGATAAATATTGAGATGAAAACAATTAAACTCTACCAGACCGCTGTACCGCCTCTCCGGTAATTTCCTAATGTGCAACTAAACTGCTGTACCAAATTGTTACTACTTTGCATACTACATGATAAAATGTTCACAAACTAAAAATAACAAACCAGTCGTGATCAAACCTCGTGGTTATCATTGCGAATGACTGCCCACGTGTGTTTGGATTTACTTTGTGGGGTTTAACGTGAAAAACATTATGAAAATTTACAATCAAACGAGCGGCTGATAAACCAAGCACTTTGACAGAAAAGTGATGTAGGTCTGGGCTTTTCTCAGTCCAACAGGTGATCAATACTTTGGTTGATTCAGATTCTGAGGAGTCTGAATTTCGCAAAGAATACATTCCCAGTTGAAGTGACACAGTCAGTGAGAGCTCGAGGATGAGGAGAATCTTGAAAATTATAGATTTGAAACTAGACTGATAGTAAGAGAAGGGGGTGTCTCTCAAACAGCCACATCTGATGCTCACTTTGTGAAACAAGACTGATCCTGCTGGGTGAACTGGTACACAAAAGTGGAATATTAGCGCTAGATGAAATGTAAACCTATTTTCTACAATATCTCCAAGTTTCATCCTATTCTAACCACTTGTTTGCATGTAATTAATATTTTTGTATATCATGTTGTTTTTTCTTGTTAATACCCAGGAGCTCAGGTATAGGTGGCAGTTAGGTTCAAGGCCTCAGGTCTGGTAGGGTTATGATATTTCACAATTATAGAAATTACATAATATTGGCTGAAAATCTCTGAAAGTACAAGGTCCTGCAATAGTTAGATAAGGTGAGTAGCCTTTGCTGGCAGCAGGATAAAAAGCATTTCAAATGAATAATGTATCTTTGAGAAAAGGAAACACGAACATACAACACTGTTAATAATTGAAATGCTTTAAGAAAAATGGGTAAATAAATTTTTTAATGAGATTTAAACAACATATTGAAATCAGTTAAAAATATGCAGAAGTGAAGAAAAAAGTTAGAAGATTGATTAGGGCAACTTGATGAATTTCTTCACTCAGATGAATATACATAGTTTTTATTTTATTTTTTATTTTTACTTTGGAAAGCAACTTCCATGTTACTGCAAGAGAGAGGGTTAAAAATGCAGACATTATAAATATTAAAGGTACCATTCTTGTATCCAGTGTAGAGTAACAATAAATAAAGTGATTCAGGCATCGGTGAGAACAAGGCCCAGTAAACTAATGATTTGTATAAACAAAGAAATTCTGCCTTAGCTCTTTGAGTCCCAGGGGGTTTAGCATCACAGGCCCAGGAGGTTGTAAAGAAAGTAATAAAATCGGTGTATCATGCGTTTTTTGGGCTTCCACGTAGGAACCTATAAACGTGTGATGCGTTCCTTGGGATCAAAGAGTTAAAGAGCTGTGAGAAGACCATGGTAAGCTTTTTTTTTAAAGTTTATTACAAAACCCATGAACATTTTTCGCTTCGGATGAAATACTTCAAATTATTTTAGTAACAGAAAAGTTCCTGTTGGATTAGCTATTAGATAGTTGCCTTGATTTTTACACCTGCATATTTTAATACAGTTTCACTTTTAAATATTTGTGCAGGTATGGCTGAAGCCTGTGAAAAAGGCTGAGTTGCACCGAACAAATGTTTATGAGTGCCCCGTTTACAAAACAAGTGAAAGACGGGGGACTCTATCCACTACTGGTCATTCTACCAATTTTGTCATGTCTATGCTGCTACCAACTAATGAACCCCAGGAGCACTGGATCTGTAGAGGACTTGCACTGCTGTGCCAGCTAGACAACTAAAGTGACATCACATTTATCTGTTAGCCATATATCAAGGCATTTGTAAGAATAGTAATATACTGGTTACTATTATTTACAGTATTATTTTCTCATAGAATTAAAAGATTACTGTATTCCAACAAAGTACTATATGCAAGCATATTAAAACAAATGTAATCATATCATTTAAACAGCTAATAATTCTAAAATTAAAATGTGAATCATTTGCTCAAATCCACTGCTATACTGTTTGCAAAGCTGCTCCCTTCCATTCCCTTTCACATTTATGCAAGGTAATTGTTAAACAAGTGAAAGGTTTAATTTTAGAAAAATTGCAGAAATGTTGATATCTAGGCACATGGATAACATCGGATGGAAAATGTATCACAGAGATAAGGAACAGGACAGGCCAAAACTGCATTTTATAAAATGAAAAGAACATTTTACGCAATAAATCCATAGGATTGAAGATTAGGAAAAGAATTTGTGCATGCTATATAGAGCTAATTTTAACATTAGATAAAGAGTTAACAAGCAAAATTATTTCTTGAGGCCTCACAGATGGGGTTTTACATTAGAATTCTTTGAATTCCTTGATCAGCTAAAAAGAGCAACCCAGATGTTTTGAAAGACGTGACGCTTGAAGGCAGCTTAAAATTAACATAAAAAAAGAGACAATTATTTTTGGTCATGTTATACAATGTCCTGTAAAGAATATGCAATTACCTTTTTTATGAGAAGAAGGAAACTGGAACGTGTTGTGAACACTGGAAAGTTCATTAGAAAAAGAGATGGAGGCAGACAGTGCAAAAGCATTCTTGACAGTATTTTGTCTTGGCATTGCGGAGTGTCAACACACAAACTGATACACCTAATTGCTGATTGTGGAGAGACATGATCGCTATGCCAGTCAGCAAGACACTTGATGATGATAAAGAATTGTTAAACCTTACAGTTTTAATTTAAATTTGAAATCTCGGTGAACATGCCTATTAATCTTTAACAAACTCGGGGGAAACAAATACAAACCTTTAATCAGGTGACGGTATCCCCCCACTCTCCCATGACCGTCTTTTTCTTTCCCCATGACAAAATATTGTAACGTGCCATTTTCATTATACTGTGCAATGTTGTGTCTGTACAGTTCATTGACTTTTTCTTCTTTTTCTTCTTCTTCTTTTTCTTCTTCTTCTTCTTCTTCTTTTTCTTCTTCTTCTTCTTCTTCTTTTTCTTTCCTTTTTACTGCTTTGGGGGGAAATATAAGGTTACCCTTCTTGTACTTCTAGCCGCCTGGACCTTAGAATCATCATGTTGTTTTAGAGTTTCTGTGATATCTTTCCATCTTGTTCTTGGTTTATGTTCATCTCCTCTTTTCATGTGTGCCTCGTATGGTATGGCCTCACAAGACATTCTCTCTGAAGTGAGTAAACCATTTGATCTGCTGTCTTTGTAAGTAATTTACAAATGGTTCTGTGTCAACTTTTTCTCTTATGCCCTCATTTCTGATTTAATTTTCTCTGGCCACTCCTGCAGCCCTTCTTACACATCTGATTTCCATGGTAAACGATTTTCTGTTCTCTCTCTTTTACTCACTCTCTCTCTCTCTCTCTCTCTCTCTCTCTCTCTCTCTCTCTCTATCTCTCTCTCTCTTTCTGTATGTGTATGTGTGAGTGAGAGAGAGAGAGAGACCATGTCTGGCACTGGTAGCATAGGGTGGCATATGATGTTTCTTTGTGCTGATAGGGATCATCTTACACTGTAAGAGGGGTTATAGCTGTCCCATTTTTTGGTTTGCTTTACTGCATCAGATGTTGTGTTCATCGTCCAGTTTACTATTTTCTATAAATGCTGTTCCTAGATAATTTAACTTAAATAACTGTTTAACGCCTATGCACTCTACTGCTATATTTAGGTCCTGCTGTTTCATCCTATTAATCTTTTCTTCTGTCTTTTCAGTGTTGATTCACATAATATTTGTTTTACATTTTTCATTCATAGATGTTAGATGTTGAAATTTCATGATCGTGTTGTAGTGTCTGCTATTAAGTCCTGGACATCAGCAAAGATTAATTCATTAATCCTACTGATATTTTCGCTCCTGTGCTTGGCATCCTCATACACTGTCAGTGTCTTACTCCAGATGTTACTGTGAATGGTTTAGGTGTTCCCTTATTTAACTATTCTTCTACAATCCCTTTTTAAACTTTTACACACTTCGATGATTGTTCATCAACTCCATATCAAGCCATTTATTTCCATAATACGTTTCTCTCGACTCTGTCAAATGCCTTCTGCTGGTCTACCAACGCCACAAATAAGTTTAAATTGTATTCCATATTATTTTTCTATCAACTGTCTAAGTGTGATGATTTGCATCCATGTAGCTTCCGTTTCTAAATCCCATCTGTTTTTCTGAGAACTGTGGTTCCGGTTACTTTATAGCCTTGAGTTGTTATTTCATCTTATCTCCTAGGGGGTTGAAGAGCTAATTGAACTATTCCCTTAAGACTGCAGCTATTTCTGGTGGATCTATTACCAGCTTTCCTTTCTTATCATTAATTATATGTATGGGGTTGTAGCTCTTGTCTCTTTTTCACATACAAAAATTATCTCAAATGTTTGTAGGATAATTGTTTTGCTATCTAGATCCTATGGTTGGTTTCTCTTTGTTGCAGTCTATATTTCATATGACCTGCTTCTCTCTTTGATTCAGATAATTTTTAAATGCTTTGTACATGTGTAAAGTTATGTTTTATTGTGACAATTTTTATCTAAAATTTAGATACTTAAAGTATTCAAATTATTTTGAAACACTATATTAATTTAAAGATCTTTCCCTGGTTGCTAATGTTTATGTTTTTAAGATTATTGAAAATTATCTGGAGTATCCTGTGCTACTTCTTTTATAGTTTCATATCTGCAAATCTAAAGGCACATGTTTGTTTGTCAGTGAATGTAATCACTGTAGTGTTCTCTGGTCATTTATAGCTGCAATAATTTTAATGCAGCTTAGCCATAGTATGAATAACGTACTGTCTGAAACAGTCCTTTGAATGCAAATGTGGGTAACTATCACATCCTTCGCAAAGGAAATAGGTCTCCCTGTTTACCATATCAGAACGAACAGCTGACCGCTCAGCTGCCGCTGGTATAAATTCACCATCCGAATCTCTTTCGGAACAATTTTAATTTGTAATGATCACAATTAGAAAAGATCTGATTGAAACACTATCAGAGCTACAGCCACAGACAGGCACATTTGTCTGTGTATGTATTCAGAATATGGCCACTTGAACAGAAGAAAAATGCCGTGTCTGAAAAATGACACCAACAATAAATCGGATTAATTAGCCCACACGTTTGTGTAAACGAAGACCTGATAAAAAAAGAGAAACGTTATGAGTAACCTTCCCTAAATATAATTTTAATGGTGGTTCCGAACATTAAAAACGAATACCGAGCTGTTTGCAGATCAATATGTACAGAACACACGATCGACGATCGACGCTGACAGTGTTGTTTGGGCAAATCAGAACTTCTCATTCAACACTCACAGTGTTCCTCAGGCCTTAAAGAGTTGATTCACCATCTTACACGGAAGCATTGAATAAGCTTGGTAATAATACAGATCTTTGCCTGACAAGTATTTTTAAAGTACAGGGGCAGTAGTAATGTTGTTACCGCTTTTATGTTTTAGTCCTCATATTAAGTATTTTGAGGTATGTTTAGTATCTAAAAATAAAGAATATTTCAAGCAAAACAGTTGTATATTAATTTTTTTCTTTTCGACAGTTCTGTTGGTAATAGATTACAACTTATACAGTTTTATATCATGATTTTGAGAAAACTTCAGCCACTAAACCATACCTTATAACTTAAAGTGAGCTAAATGATCTTATAAGAGATCTGAATTTACTTAAGAGCAAGCCTGAGCTTTTGGGTTCCAGAATACAACAAGGAAAACTCATGGCACAAGATGTCAGAATTTCTGTGTAGAAAAATTAATGAGGCTTTCAAATAATTCAACAGAAAATTTTCTAGACTGGGTGAAGCTTAAATGGAAGGGAGTATTTATTGGCCCACAAATTTGAAAACTTCTTTATGATGATAAATTTTGTTGCGTGTTGTATAGCAGAGAAAAAGCAACATGGCTAGCAATTAAAACAATAATTTTCTTGGAAACAAAAAAATTTATAAATACAATGAGATAGTAGAAAATCTACTTCTGATGTAGATTCATCTTGGCTGCAACATGTCTATGAAAATTTATTTTCTGGATTTCTTTATTTCAGACGGTGGAGCTTTTAGCGATAAGCATTACGAATGATTTCACCAGGACATTGCTACTACGGAGATAAGGTTTAAAGGCAGTTAGAACCCTTCAGTGCCTAATGCTTACTAATTGAACTGTGACAAGTGACACCTTATCAGTTTACTACAAGAAGCAAGCAAACAGAGCTCGAACAGCGACAATAATGACATAATAGGTTCAAATATACCTTTTTAAAAGATTATATGTAAACTTTAAAAAAGACTTTATTTGTGTATGTCATTTAATATGAGAAAAATAAGAAACAAGATTGAACCAGAAATTAGTAAAGAACAGTGTGGATTTGGTAATCACTGGGAGGGTTTTAGAAACTTCTGACAGATGCAAAGGAAGGATTGGCTTATCACAACAGGCACTGATAGTGGTATTCCAATGGCAACACACTAAACTGATCATAATGATGGGGGAAAAAGATAATCTGACACTATAAATTATAATTATTTTTGTATCATTAGGGTGGAGGATATAAATTGTGAAAAGTAAAAGACACGGCGCCAGAGTCAGGTATGCCTACACGAGAGCGTGAGTGAAGAAGACTTCTGAGAGAGAATTTTTCACTTCAACGGGAGAATCAAAACAGCTACAGTACCCAGAACCGGGTACATAGTTACCTAATTCCCTTTCCAAAACCAGGCAAAGCTCATTCTAGACTCAGCGGTTTCAGGATTATCACCTTACAAAATACTTTTGA